AGGCCTCGTTAGGACTGGCTCACTTTATGGCGCATTTCCATTACAGTTTAGGAACTGGGGTAGTATCTATAGTAACGCAGTGTAGGCGGAGCCGTGACGTCATCTTCAATGAGAACCCCAGAAAAACAACACAGCCGTTAGCTGTTAGCACTCAGAGCTCACAGCTCCTCATATATGTTCAGAAACTAGACAAAAGTTAAACAAGTACAAACCACAGACTGTCTGTGTCATGGCGAATACAGTCGCTGCTTTATTTATGTCTGTATAGGCCGTTGTTGTGAGTGTGGACGGTCGGAGCATATACTGCGTTAGCTTAGCCAATCTCCATTTAGAAAACAAGCATTTTAAAAGGTTTTTCGCCTGCCGTCTGTCTGCAGACTTGACAAAGCATTAATTCATGGTTTTTACTAACCGGTATCAGTATGTTGTTACTTCGGCATCATTTTGAAACGTGTATTACAATTAAATCACGGTCAAATATGTCCATCTTGTTGTAGTTGTAGCCCCCTTGCCAGCGACGCTCTCTCTAGTTTAGCATACTCAGCCCGACTCAGCCTCGTTGTCTCTGGCCCTGGACCCACGATTTTATGAGGCCAGAAAAACTGTGAATTAGGACCCGCCGGCCGGTACTAGGCCAAGTGGAAACGCAACCAAAGACGGGCCGCTGACGTCACAGCCCTCTTAAACCGTGCTCCGCGCTGTAGTGGAAACGCGCCATTAGTCCCCTGATTCAGCTTCTTGTGGAATAGATTTTTGAAAGCAGTCCAGCATTTTTACAAAATTTGGTGTCAGAAAAAGTGAAAAAGCCCAGGTTTTAGTAAGAACTGTAAGTAAAGAGACTATTTGTTGTTGACAAATTCTGTATCTTGTTTTATTTAAGTTGGTGAATACCGGAGAGAACCTCAGCAAAAGTAGGAAGGTTCTTCGTGCGATATCACGACGGTAAGTGCTTCCCCTGAAAAGATTATACAATTCAGTTTTTATTTTTTTCCAATAAATTGAATGTTGAATTTCCGTTTCTTGTGTTTCCATTATTCTCTGTTTTTGCATGCTTTAATTTTGAGGACTAGAGAAGTCTCTGTAGTTTGTATGACAGTATACTTTAATTAAAAACCACTCTCATTAATCGCTGTGAATTGCTTAAGCACATTTTAATTGCATATTTCTTTGGGATAATGATGTGAAATGAAGTTGTTTTTTTCCAGGATAATCATGACATTAAATGTTCATATCCTCCCATGTCTTCAACTAAAAAAACCTTCTCCCTCTTTTGGTCCTGTAGGCTGATGACCAACAAGCTGCTGTTAGGCGTCATCATCATAATGGAGTTGGCTATTCTAGCAGCTGCCGTTTATCTGAAGTTCTTCCGATGATGAGCAAACTTTACAATCCAGAGCAGACTCTCTACAAATACTTTTCATCCATTAAGTGAACTTTTACTCAGCGAGGATTCTGTCAGGTGATTCGGGAAGAAACGGAAATCTTTGAACTTGTTAAAGGACCAAATCTACAGAAATGTGACCTGGGATTTGCACTTTTTCATCAGACTGTTATTACCCCTGATGCTCTGCAGGGGGATTTTCTGGATTTGCTGCAACAGACCCCAGAAGATGCTCTGTCAGGATTTATTTACCCCTAAGTTCATGTCAAGATCGTCTGGTGACTGTACTTGAGAAGTGTTACTGAGACAATGGTGCAGAAGTTCTGGGAATGGGATTCTTTATTATTCGTCACCCAAACACTTGCATTTTGCTTAGGGCTGTCCTCTAGCAGACATTCTTAGTCAACTAACACTACGATTTTCCTACAGTGCGTACTCAAAAGTAGAACGTGTATGCAGTGTGTGTGTTTTAGAATTGGCCGTCCTATTCTTGTGAACGTGCTATCTCAATCACCTGGAGGAAATGTCTTGGAATTTGGCACAAACATCCATTTTGGGTCAGGAACGAACTGATTACAATTTGTTGGTAAAATGTCAAAGTCATTGTGACCTTACCGACGATGGTTTTGTCCATAACCCAATAATGTGTCTGCTTATTATGACAATTCACCCAAATGTCTAACAGGATAAAATGATGATGTTTAATATCTGTAAAACTAAGCTCCTCCACAGAGAATCATGCAAAAGCACCACATTTCATCTCTGATTAATAGAGATTTGCTCCGGAATAAGTCATTCAGCCTGGAAAAAAAGCATTTAAATGAATAAATAACTCCGATATCGACCATTAAGTGGATTTAGAGGAGGCAGCCCTTATTGTGCCATTATATAATACTAAATAATAACAGTATTTGATGAAATGGCACCAGTTTAATCTATGTTTAAAGTGTCATCATGCCCAGTTTCCCAATGGTTGTATTAAGCTTTTGAGGTGTGGATGGAAGCTTTTACTACATGCTCTTAACGGTAAATAATGTCTGTCTAATCACTGTATAATACAGAAATCACTATTTGAAAACAAGCTTCAGTATTCCTTTATTTCCCAGCGTCACTGAAGCTAATGGTTAACGTCAGTCTGATGTCTGCAGGGTTGACAGCGGTCAGAAAAACATCCGGCGGATCTGCCTCAGGTTAGTGCTGCGCAAACAGCATCTGTTACCACGCTCCTAATTCTCAAATAATCGCTGATAAGGTTATTTTTAAGTGCTGTGTTTTCAAGTGGCACATCTGCCGCCGTGTTTTTCCTCCGCAGAGATATCACGCCTGGCTGGTGTGATGCCAGGCAAACATGTTGTGAGACTGAGCAGCAGGTGGAGAGAGGAGGAGGAGGAGGAGGAAACTTCAGATTTATTATTGGTGCTGCAATCTGAAATGCTGCCTTCATGCTCCCTTTGAAATACTAAAACAAAAACGTTTTTTAACCTACTTTAAATAATAGTAATATAGCTAATCTATTTGGGTTTGTCACCACCCCCGCACCCCCCTGTGAATGTCATGGGGCACTAACCCACAGCGCCTCACACTCAGGGACATTGCACTCCTTGTGACTCATTCACAATCTCTTTATTCACTATTTATTACAGGGGTGTCCAACACTTTTTCACAGAGGGCCACATACAGAAAAATATAGGGCTGGGCCGCTCACTAGAGGTATATCGCCTCATAAGTTAGCAAAATCAATCAAATGTAGGTACATGATGCTTGTGAGTGTTGGCAGCTCATCCCTTAAAGCAGAAGCCTCAGATTGATTATAATAAGGAGAAATAGGAAGTGTGTATTTCAAGCTTGTAAATAAGTCATTGGGCTTTTTTCTTATCAACTAAGATATGAAAATGTTTCCAACTTTAATTGACTGAATTTATTTGAAAAGTGGTCTTATTAACACATGAATACTACTGTGTAATATATTGTTATATTTATATTTAAGAAGTACAATATAAGACAAGCACACGTTTCATTTGTGGGCCATATTCCATTGTACTTTTTAAATTTGCCGAGGACCGATTCAAAATGGTCCGCGGGCCGCATTTGGCCCCCGGGTCGTAGTTTGGACACCCCTGATTTATTACATCTGTATTTATCTATATATGTCTAAACTCTGCACCATATATTTGTTCTGTGAATGTATTGAAAACGAATGCGATGTATTACTCTTTGCACTTTCTGGTTGGATGCAAACTGTAGTTCGTTGGGCAATGACAATAAAGTTGAATCTAATTTATTTTAGTTTGTAAAATCCTACCAATTGTTCTCCTAACAGAGAAGAGAGATCTAAGAATTGTAGACAGAACTCATTATCATAAACCAAAAAAACATTATTATTTAAAAAACTAAATGGTCTGAAATGGAGAGATTTGTTAGACTTATAAATGGCAAAAAGTGACCTATTAAAGGTCCCATGCCATGGCCTACTGATCATAATTCCATAACTCACATTGGTTTCTCATACAGCATCTCTGTAAAGTATGTGTATTCACTCTCTGTCCTTAACGGCTTGTTGGAGCTCCTGCCCCCCCCCCCCCTCCCTGTGAGCCCAGTGGCCGTCTGCGAGACAGCGAAACCCAGCCCGAACACACACACACACCCGCAGCCTGGCTGGGAGTTTGTGTGTGTGCCCAGGCTGAGTTCCGCGGTGTCTCGCTGTCTCGCCGACCCCACACCAGTGAGCCAGCTCACAGTGTCCCGCTCCTCGCAGCACAGTGTGTGAGGAAGTCCGCGGATTGGTCCAAACGTAACAGCTCCGCGGACGTAACGTAACGGCTCCGCGGATTGGTTCATTTGGACGTTACGTTACGTCACTATACCCAAATGCGTCAGAAGAAGAAGTAAACAATGGAAAAAGAGAAATGTCCAACGAGGCGTTCTGGGGCAGCATAGACAGGTCTTTTCTGTGTTAGAGTTTTACTCGCTACAGGGTGTACTTTGAGGGTTTGTGACTCTGCAGACCGTTTACATGCAGAAAAACCTTCATAACACACAAGGGGACGGGTAAGAACCAGAAAAGCATGACATGGGACCTTTAAGTTATATAAAGAAATGCTAAATCTAAAAGTCCTATGAGGAATCTTGTACAAAAAAAAATGCAAAACAAAGATAAAGCGTATGAAACTCAGAAGTCATTTCCAGAATGTTTTTTAAATATGTGCAATACACCTAAATTGATTAACTGAAGATGAAGTGCTTTTAAAATGTTTCTAAATGTGGACATTAAAAATGCAAAAGGTTACCTATAAAGTAAAAACATGTCATGTTCAAAGGCTGTATCCAAAATAAATAAGAGTAGCATCTTTACAAATGCAAAAAGTGATCCTTTTCATTTTCTATAAGCACTAACATGATGTTCATTTTAGTTTTTAGTGAAATATCTCAACAACTATTGTATGGATTTCCATGTAATTTGGTAAAAACAGTCATGACAATGTGATTTAGTTTTTATCAAAAACTCTTCAAAGTTTTATTTGTCCAACTTAAATAAATACACTTTATATACTTGCATGCTAATGACATTCCCATCAGCTTTAGTTAGCTTTGCGTTTAGTAAAATACAACGAAATGAGACACATGCACGAAAAATGTAATAACATTTATGGAAGACCAAAATATAAACTCTTTGCTACAAGGACAAAGTCGAATGGTGGCAACATCAAGTGAAGCTCTGGAGCTCAGTGATGCAAACAGGTGGTGTTGTTCTGCCAGCGTTTGAATCAAAGCTGCATTTTGGACTTTTCAAGCCAATTAACACTCATGTAGTCATAAAATATCAGTTCCCACTAATAATAGTAAGTGTACTAGTAGGTTCAATGTGGAAATACAAAAGTAAACTCTAAAGAAAATACAGTAACCACAGCTGGTCCAAAAGTGCAAACACATCATTACTAGGTTTTAGTAACTGGCACAAAACAGTTGTGAGAGTCAAACTAAGGGAAACTTGGTTTATCATACCTCTGAGGCAGGTTCATTCTCTTTGAACCAAACACACAATAAATATGAGGAAGCTGTGTGCTCTCTTAACTTATTACTCACATAAGTTAGTATTGCTGCTTTAAATTAATAGTATTTCCATCAATCAGTGTCTCGAGGGCTTCCGTCTCAATCTGTGAAGCCCTCTGTATTATAGTTTGTCTTCATAAAACATAACTAAACATCAGACCGGGAACAAAATCTCTACGTTTAGATTCAGTCTTTTTACAGTCTTGTTTTCAGGATTGTGGAATGATCACAGGGTCGGTGTTGATATAAAGTCCAAAGCTTTTTTGTTTGTCTCTCTTCTAGAGACGCAGCTGCTCCGTGTCGTCCTTCACAGACGGGATCTCGAGGATGGAGACCGGAGCGCCTTCTCTCGTCTGACCCAGAGACGACGCGATGATGTCCACCGCTAGAGAGGCGGTCGCTTCCACGGCCTCACGAGTCGCCCCGAGCGTCGGGTTCACCTCCACCAGGTCCATGGCTGACAGCAGGCCTGAGGACACGACACAGGGACAAGTTAGGTGTGAGAAGTTATCAAAACAGCTCTTTAAAGACAGACAAACTGGAAATGGAAGCTGCAAACTGCGCCTGTCGTCCCCTCGCATCGTCCTGCACTATTCTGACAACACAAGTTCAAACGTTTTATCAGAGCGTCAGTGTTTGTTTCTGTCACAAATTTTGTAACGACCGAATGAGACTAGCAGCCGGTTAGGGAGAAGTAAAAGTGAAAGCAGATTTTGGCCAATTCTTGTGCCCCAAATGTTCATGTCACATATCTTCCAAACGTTCTGACACAAGAAAGCATTGGTCAGTCGGAATGCGACCATTTTGGGGACAGGAAGTGTTTACCGTTGGCGGCGATAGTAACAAGCTATATTTATTTTATAGAACATCTTTGGTTATATCCTGCATTGTGTGTGGGGTGTTGGAAAAGCACTTCCTGTGTCCACTTTGTCACGTGTGCACCACCCACTAAAACTCATGTAAATCTGATGAGGTTACACAATACCTGATCTCTCTTGTCAATAGGTGGCGCTGTGAAGTTTGGAGCAAGTTTAATTTACATCGACTTCCTGTTTTATGGCTGTATGAGCTGTTATCACACGGTATGTTTCTCCACAATGCCAACATTGCTGCTTGACACGCTGCAGTGTAAAGCGCCTGAACGTGCACCAAAATTGCACAGGAAATTCAAAATCCTGTCCTCCCTGTGGGGTTTGGGCTATACCTCCAAGAGGCTTCTTTTTAAGTCTGTTCGTGTTATATCTGCCTTTCAAATTTCATATATTTACTTGTAAGTTAAAGATGGGGGCTTCAACTTTCAAAACTGTTTCCACGCCCGAGGCCAAGACCAAAATTGATGTGTTTGCACAGTTTTATGAGTTCTCAAGCATCCCAAACATGCCAGAAATGCGCTTAAAGCAACACATAAAAAGCCTGGGCTCTAATGAGGGGGTCTGCAGCCGTCTGTGTATAATTTCTGTACCTGTGTTGTGGATTTCCTCTGTGATGTAGATCCCCTCCCTGTAGGTCAAGCCTCCGTTCACCGGCGTTCCTGTGGCCGGAGCCAGAGACGGGTCGAAGGCGTCGATGTCGAAACTCAAGTGGATCGGTCTCTGTTTTCTGTTGGAGGTGAGAGGATTTAAGATTAAAAAAACACACCTGGGTAGACATTTAGCAAATAAACAAAGCAGAAATGGAGTAAACAAAGTCACAATAGCAAGGCTGGGAGAAGTCTTATAACTATCTGGAGTATCCTGAAACATTTGTGATGTTGGAAGTACACAACGAGATACATAACATAAGTCCAGTGGATTTACACTCTACTGTATACTATGTAATACCAGAGGTAAGTAAGGTATTTAGCACATAAACAAAACAGAAATGAAGTAAACAAAGCCACATGCCTGGACAGGAGGTGGTCCAGAGTGACCTCCATGACTCTCTGGATGCCCAGTCGGTCGATGTCCCTCATGGTGAAGTACTGGATGCCCAGGTTTTTTAGGATGTGGCTGCGATAAACAACATCAGAACAACATCAACATCTATTTCCACATGGAGGGTCAGGTTAGTATTGACGACATATGATAAGCGTTTGGAGGTGATAGTATGTACTCACTACTCTCCGGGGTCAACGTCTCGCAGGCCGATGTACACAAGGTCGCTTGAGGAGAGGAAGGGCTTCGTCCAGGAGAACCCTGGGATATCTGGCATCTGTGGGGAACCGGAGATAAGGTTATATGGAAGAGACAGGGACGTAAGGACAAGAAAACATCCACCATTGGGTGATATCTGACCATTTATGTAATGGGTATGGTAAGCATTTTAAAAGTAATGTTTAAAAAAGAAATGTTTCTATCTTTCATTCTGGGTGTCTGGGAGACTTTGAATAATAATAAAAATAATAATAATGACTTATATGTTTTATATTTTATACATATTTAATAATAATAACAAAAATTATAATATTTTGCACTTTGCAAACACATTTACAGATTTCTTAATATAGTTAAAACTCTAACAAAAAATATAAAATATATAAAATATTGACAATTACAACTATACTAATATAGTGGAAATAAAAAAACATGGGAATAAAATGATGTGCTTGAATTATTAAAAGTTTTTTTTTAACCTTTTTCTTTTGGATAGATAAGTTTAGCTTATTCATTTAATAATTGAAGTGCTTCTGCAAGTCTCAGATATCAGTGCACAGGAGCTTATGATCCCATAATCTGTCCCTTTTTGCAAAACAGGAAGTTCTGTCAGCGTAAAATGTACAGGAGTTCCTCAATTACTTCATACACCTTTTGTAAAACAAGAATTCTAATAGTAGTTTATTCGTTGTACATTGAAACTGATGAAGTCATGCTTAAACTTAATCCGAACACGGTGAATTACATAATCTTTTATCCATGTGCCCAATATAAATAAACAAGCTTTGCCTCTAATTCCTGCTCACCTTGTCCGTCAGCTCTTTGAGCATGAATGAGACGGGCTGGCCGTGGAGGCTTCCTGAAGGAGAGCTCATGGGCGTGTTGATGTCTGCGTGAGCGTCCACCCAGATCAGACACAGGTCAGGACACTGCTGCGCATGGCCGCTCACTGAGCCAATAGCAAGGCTGTGGGAAAAGAGAAGCAGTCTTTTAAATATCAGTCAAATTAAGAGCATAAGAGATTATGTAAACGAGATCTATATGGAAAAAGGCTTCAAACTAGATAAAAAGTCCATTCTCTGGCTCAAGTTGGCTGTCACCGACAATCTCTTCCCTTAAGAGGTCAAAGAACATCCTGCCTTTCAACTCTGTTACATAACATGTGTTGTTACAACTTGTGCAATTCTAGAAATGTTAGAATTACACAAGAAACAATGACCTCTTCACCTGGTGGTGCAAGCGACTGAAGTCCCTACGGCAGGTGGATATAAATCATGTCAGTTTGATGCATTTTAAACCCCTTTGTCTACATAAAAAGACATAAATATGGCAGCTTATGGCATTACCTTTATTAACATTTCCTGAAACATTTGGGATGTTGTAACGAAATAGTTCGAATGGATTTACACTCTACTTTATACTATTTAATGCCAGATGTGGGAAGTAACTAAGTAAATGTACTCAAGTATATATAAACTGAGTATTCCTACACTCTGGTACTTCTACTTTTACTCAAGTACAAGATGTGAGTACTTCAACTTTTACTCAAGTACAAGATGTGAGTACTTCTACTTTTACTCAAGAACCAGATGTGAGTACTTCTACTTTTACTCAAGAACCCGATGTGAGTACTTCTCCCCCCTCTATTTGATGCTACATATTATCCCTTTACCACAGGTGTGTGTGTTTACGTCTCATCTACCTGTGGTCTCCCCCCAGCATGACGAGTGTGTGTCCTGCACCAATGGCTCGGCTCACGGCGCCCGACAGCATCTTGTTGGCTCCGCCCACAGAGCGAGGGAACTTCACGTCCATGTAGGGCTCATCCTTCTCCAGGTGGTGGAAGTTCAGGTCCCCAAAGTCGTGCACGGAGTAATCTGAGAGAAACACAACGATAAGAAGCTGCCGTCAAGTAAAGACCAAATGCTTTTGCTGAGCTTTTTCTGATGAGTCACTCTGATGGTGAGGTGTAACATTTCATTTAGCTGAGTCACTCTGATGGTGAGGTGTAACATTTCATTTAGCTGAGTCACTCTGATGGTGTGGTGTTACATACATACATAAATAAAAAGGGTATTTTTAAATGTGAAAGTTTGCAGTCAAAACAGGGCTTTCATTATGAGAATTAAGATTACATAAAGACAGAGTTTTAAAACAGGACATTTAATGGTTACATAAAGGAACCTGCAATCTGACAAGTTCCGTAATTGTTAAGACACTGACTGACACTATTGTCTGTTTAGACCAGGGGTGTTAAACTCAAATACACAGTGGGCCAAAATTTAAAAAATGGATACTAGTCGAGGGCCGGACTGGTTCAATGTTTATTGCCGAACGTATTGAAATGAACTTATTGCACATATTAAACCTGGAACTAACAAAGCTTAAATGATTGCCTATAAAAACAACATTAAATAATCAGTTGCATTCATTTCTTATGGCTCGATCTGCAGCTTTTCCAGAGTCATTTCTTATGATTACATTTTTCCACAGGCCAACGACAGCTTCAAAAAAACTATTTCCCTCAAAGAAAAAACCAAACATGCCCTGTTGTCTCAAGAAAGAAAGTGCAGAAGGAAACATCCATGTAAACTCAGTGTGCTGCTCTGTGATGCTAGTTCAAGCCAGATACTTGGCATCTCATCTTGGGTGCAAGTTCATCAATGTTTGGGCTCAGGCTCTGAGCTGAGGAAACCCTCAGGATTGAGTGAAGGTGTACGTGCAATATACCGGCGGGCCAGATCTAATAGTAATTAAAAATTATCCTGCGGACCGAAATTAAATCCACCAAGGGCCTGATTTGGCCCCCGGGCCTTGAGTTTGACACATGTGGTTTAGAGGAAGCATCTCTGCTTTAAAGACTGCATGTTCCAGTATCACTTGAGAAGCCTTGATCATCTGTAGCTGCTATAGTAGGATCACGGTTATCCTGAAGAGAAGGAAGCCTCTGAGTGAATGTGAAAGTGTGAATCAAGGTTCAAGGATCAAAGACTTTATTGTCATACGCACATTAGATACAGTGTAGATAAGGCAATCAAATCTGAAGTCCAATACCCTCCAATAATGCAATATATTATAGAGGACATCAAACTATAAAACATAAAGATAGTGCAAGACTAATGATGCAAGACTAATGATGCAAGACTAATGTGGCGCCGCTAGCTCGTCTCCAACATGGCGTTTTTATCGTTTTATTTCGGTGTTTGCTTTCCATTGTTTAACTTTCCCTTCCCGTAAGCGTGACTCGAACACGTGTCTGCCTCTCAGTCTGAGGAGGCTGATTCATTGAAAGCCAGAGGAACGTTATGATTGAGTGAGACCTCATACTTTAACCTGCAGAACCTGCAATTTGTGGGTTTTAAATATTCTTTATAGTTGTTTGGAAATTACCCCTTTGTCGGATTTGAACAAACCTTTTTGCTTTGACAACTGCTGCAGGTGCCAGTTTTAGTTCAGAGGCCTCCTCAATCTGTGGCTTATGGGCATACGACTATATACAAATTCACAATTTCACATGACATTACATTTCATATAACTTGTATCCAAAGCATGTGTGTTTTTGTTATGCCGATAATTATCAAATCGTGCTTAAAACGTTTAAATGGCACTTCAAATGTAGGACATGTCTTTTTTAAGTGAAAAACAGAAAACCCTAAACAAGTCATTAATCATAAGGACTGGATAAATATAGGATAGAAAAAGGTATTTTAAACGATAACAATCTTTAACTCTGTGTTTCTTGCATCCTAATTCTTGTATTGGGCTCTTCACAATCCCCCCGGCTATGGAAATTCCCCACGATCCATCCCATTTCTATTGTATAAGCATGACAATATACATATCTGTGCCTATCTATACACTATACTAAGGGTATGTAATTCAATCTGGCTCTACTTTATACTTCTCTAAAATAATAGTGAGCTAGGCAGCGTTTTTAGGTCACTCGTGGAGATGTTCCCAATTGTCACAATAATGGCAATTGTTCAAAAAAGGGGCCTTTTTTCCATAGCGTGACACGAGTCTGAGGAGGCTGATTCATTGAGAGCCAGAGGAGCGTTAGTGACAGAGCACTTTCCACTTGCCCCATTTCCCACGTCGGCTCTGGTTTCAGTCGTGGAGCCCGGAAATTTCCACTGGCTTTAGGGGCTCGCACGGCGGAGTAAACAAGTGATGTGATACACCACTTTGGGGGTTCATCTGGCAATGTGAGCCTTTGTGGCAGGGTAGTGTTTCTCTGCTGATCTGAGGGGAACCAGTGAGGTTCATTTCCATTAGTAGACAGGACAGGAATAGCCCTTGTGTTGATGCAATCTCCAGCATCTATTGCAGGACAATAAACCGTCTGTTATGGAGAAGAAAAAGCTGCTTTTGTTAGCTGGGAACGTGACGGTACAGCTGCACTTTGAGATTACAGGATGGATTTTAAGCATGGTTTTTATCCTCTAAGACATCTTGGAAAAACTGACACTAACCCTGAGAGTTTAAAGATGGTATTTAGTTCAGTTCGGGTCGGGTTTCCTGTGTTTGGCTCAGTTAGTGAGATGGCAGCTGGATCTGTTTCACTGCTGCCAAGTTGAAGTTCAGGTTAAACCCATAAGGACCCACCGTGACACGGGTGTCACATGACCTTTACATGTTCTGGAAAGTTCCTTATACAGCTTAAGCCTTTATTTTATCTCATGAAGTCCCTAAGTGACACTGAACAGTCTGGTGGGTCATGGTCCAGGACATGTGATTTTGTGTTCCCATGACAACATGTCCATGTGCCAGGCTAACACATGTGACATAACGAGCTACATTTCAAAAGCTTTTTTTGTTGTTGCTAAAGGTCAAATTCAAGCCATTTAAGAATGAAAATGCCTACATAACATGTCCTTTATTACATTTAACCTGTTGTGGAAACATTTATTGATCAAATTGATATGAAACAAATGAGACTGATGTCACATCGGGACTTTAACCCTAAACTTTCACAGTAAACCCGGAGTGACATATATGCACAATTAGAAATATTATTATGATCTGCACAGTTAATTTAGCTGATTCAATTATATTGAGTTAATATATTCTTTATTCTTCAATTCAAAGAATGTTCAAACTAATTTACACATTTTTTTTCTTGAAATTAATCATTTTTTTAATATAACACGTTAACATATATGTATGTGTCGTAATACTGAGAATATATCGGATACTGTGGAGCAGGACAAATTAACCCCTAACTGAGATTTAGCAATAATTAATATCATAAAATCTGTTTGGAAATTCTATTTATAATCAAAGAGACAAGCAAAACTAAGGATAAGATTAGGATATTAGCACTAATATATAATAATGTTTATAATTCTTGGTTTTCTATGCTTAAAAATACATTTTGCAAGTGTCTGAAGAGTTCCTAAATGCTTCCTTAATATAGATTATTCATAATTTGATTTTTAACAATTTTTTAATCCATGTCAATGTAGGTTACATTTATCTTATTTTATACACATGCAGTTCTCTCATCTTTATGGAGAATATTTGATATAGTTCAGCACCAAAACAAATGTAAATATTTCAAAAGATAATCAGAATTATTGGATTAGTGCCAAGTGGGTTATCCCATTCAAAATAATTGAAAATTTGAATATAGAATGGGAATAGAAATCCAGTCAAAATACTATTAAATTGTAAGAAATATGCAAAAGCAATGCTGGGATGTGCAGGAATACATTAAAGGGGGTCTGCAAGCAGTCATTAATATGCGATGGTAATACTGTGTGGAAGGATAAAGGCAAGTCAGTTAAAAATAAAATAGTATCCCAGCTGTTAAACAGATTCGCTGTGAGGATGGGGAGGGCGGCACCTGTTGCTCAACATCTGATGTTTACACCCCGACACGCTCCCCGACAACTCTGAGGCTCGACTGTCACACGCTTATTAGATCTGTTACATTACAGTTAGCTGAGGCTTTTATTAAAAGTGGCATACATGCACTTGAATACCCTGGACATGCCTGCACGAGGACACTTTGACTTGTTGACTGCAGAGGCTGGGGGTCAAACCGCTGATTGTTATATCATCGAATTAAACCCTGAGCCACAGAATGAAGGGATCACTGGCAATTTCTCTCTTTTTAATTCTGTTATATTTGTATAAAGATTGCAGGGGAGGACATATGTTGTTTGCTGTGTGAGCTCGGTGAGATAGAGACTATTTTTGTTATACTTCTATCTCTCCAAGGAGATAAGAGAGGTCGTTTTTTGGGTGGAAAATGACCTTTTATGTTGATTTTCTTTGGCCAGGGATGGGATTTTATTTGCAAGCCTTGAAAGATAAGGAAGAATATTTTGTGTAAGACTGAGCGATAAAACAAACTTTAATTTTGTAATGAAATGTTTGACTCATACTTATACTTAGTCTGTGTATAGTGAGCTTATTTATAGCAGCCTTATCATACAAATGGAAGCTTGTTTTAATCTCATGTTGAGTCAACAGGTGTGAGACTCATCAGGGCAAAGTGACGGTGTGATGTGTGTTGTGCAACTGATTAAAAAACATATATATTTTACATTTAATCACACATTTTGAGAACAGGCATTCTTATGATGAGAAAACAATACATATTACTGGTAGTAGTGATTACAATAAGAGCAGCAATTATTTGTCAACTTATTGCTCATTTGTTCAGCTTTTGTGATAATTGATGAATCAAGTAATTTTGTATGCAAAAAAGTCAGCAAAATCAGCCTTTTTCCTCTGAAAGTAACAATGTACTTTTACATACAAGTACTGGACTTAAAGTCCCTGTCTGCTCTGATTGGCTCTGTTGTGATTGGTCAACCGCTTAGAGATGTCCCGCCCTTTAGCCTATCACGTACAATGTGTTGGAGCGCTAGCCAATAGGAGCACGAGTGTTCCATATTGATGTCACTATGTTCAGGAAGTAAACGAAGGAGTCCAATGGTGGGAGGGAACACAGGGATGTTAGCCTCTGCAGACCATTTACATGCACTAAAACCTGTAGAACACACTACAGGACAGGGAAACCCCCCCAAAATAGACTTGGGCCTCTTTAAATACAGTTTCGATGTACCTTACTTGAGTATTTCTGTTTCATGCTACTTCAAATGTCTGGCAGTGTATAAAGTCATGAAAGTTAGCTCCACCTGGAAATATCTTTGGGTTTTTGGAAAAACAGGACATAGATACATGTTTTACTATTTTCTGACATTCTGTAGACAAAACTATAATCACTTCATCTCGAAAATGTACAAAAGTGTGAGTTGCATCCCATTACCATATGCCAGTAGTTTCTTATAGATTTATTGTACACCATATATTATCTACAGTACTCTGTGTCCTCGGTACACAAAAGGAGACTAGTCTGTATCCTGATCTGCTGATAAACTTATTATCACACTGAGTTTTCTTTAACTCCTCCTGTGCTGCAGTAAATCCCTCCCTCTCACATCACTGCTCGCTATGCTAAGTCTCCTTTTGTTGCGTGGGCGTTGTATTTCCAGCACAAAGAAAACTCATTGACCTGAGCTCCAAAATACACTGCGGATTCTTTCCGAGTGATGTGTCCTCTCTCATGTGCAGCCGCAGCACTCCCCTTTGTACAGGAAGCGTGTATTACAGTAGTTTTAAGAAGGGGGGGGGGGGGGGAGAGTCTGCAGTGACGACACAGTGGAAACTCATCAGCCTCTTCCTGCAGCCGAGCATGTGCGCAAGAATGACTAAAGGCAGACATGTGGCTCCAGCCCGGGTAACAGAGAGAGAGAGAGCAGAATACATTAGCTGCCTGGTGCAGGGTTACCACAGTGTTCTCTCTGTCCTCTCTGCTGTCTCACCCGGTGCTGCTTTATGGCTTAATGCCCTTCTATGGCACCGCTTTCAGTGGCTGAATCGAGCTGTCGCCATTACTTTTTCTTAATGAGGCTATTATCTTAATTTGTGCATGCTCTGCAGAGACACCACATGTACACAGACACCACATGCACACAGACACCCATCTTTATTCTAATTAGATCGCTATCCGTGAAAGGATGTTGTGCAGATCTTTAGGGTATTAGGAGAGATTCTCTGATGCATGCTCGCTGATTTTAATCCCCTCGCTGTGATGTAAGAAGCTGGAGGAGGGAGGCAAGGCGGTAAATCTGTCTGAAAGCTGTCCTGCATGTTACACTCATCCACCGTCACATAACAATTGTGTGCCCCGTTTCCCGCACCTACCTAACCCGGAAAGCCTCTCGATGAGCCCCGCATCTCTGATGGCTTTAGGGCCGTGCTCCACGCCTCTCCTTTTCTGATTTAAATTGAAAAACAGGAAGGATTTAAGTGAGTAAAGTTGATCTGAAAATGAAGATTGAAAAACTGAAAATGAAAGTAGGATTTTCTTACCTGTCCTTTTGAGAAAGGAGCTCCAAGCACAGCGACGGATTGAGCTCTGCTTTGTTGGCACGTTTGGCCAAGTTGAGGTCTGAGAAGACGGAATAAGGGTCCTCTCAAAGCCATGTTTTAGTTTTTAAATAATCTGAATCGTCCCAGTTCTAACCAATCGGATCGTTGTCTGATGAAAGCTGAGTGAGAAGTTGCTCAGACTCTTGGCTGCTGGATGCTGGATGCTGAATGAGTTCGCGCTGCTGCAGGAGGCCGGTCTTATTGCGCCTAAAGCTACTTAATATTCATGAGCTGGGGAAAAGGAGGCCTAAGATTAACATCTTATCATCACACATTCCTTTTTTCTCGCACTTGGTACTTACTGTGTGATTATTTTGAGAATTTCAGCGATGATTAGCGTTTATAACATGCAATAAACTATTATTACCGTAAGTACACTGCTGTTCCATATGCAGCTAGTGACGTTAGTTTGAGTGGCACACCTTCGGAGCAGCCAATAGGAAGCTGGGAAATGAGTGGGTTCGCTGAAAGGGGGCGTGGCCTGCGTGCCGATGTATGTCAGTTTTTTTTTTTTTTCGTGACAGGTTTGTTGTGAAGCTCATATGCTGCATTCTCATCGCTGTGGAAATTTCCAGCGACGCAGCCGATGGGATTTAGAGGCTTGTTTACCTTTTAACTTTTGACCCTCACTGGTGCCAGGCACGCCAAAACAAAAAGGTATTCAGGTCAAGAACAAGACCCAACTTTCCATAGACTAAATTACCCCTATAGGGTGACAGGTGTCTGGGTCCTTTTCCTCCGAGGAGAAATAAGTATTTAAATCCTGTTACATAAACCAGCATGTAGAAACAACCTCTATAAATAATACATTACAATTACTGTGAGCAGGATTTAGCTTCTTATCAAAAGGGAAAGTATATTATGCAAAATATTTGTATACATATGATTATTATAATTCATGCACTGATGTGTAAGTAGGATTTTTATTTTATTTTGACTTTATTATTTACTCAACGTGTTATAGTTTCCTAAGTGTTGTTCTAACCAGACTCCACTCGGTTGTGTCCTTAACATAACCCTGAACAATCTGTACATAGTGTACTCTCTACCTCATTGAATTTAAATTGTAATTACAAAAATAGTATTTCGTGTTTTAACAGTAGTAGGTTGGTTATAGTATATTCTGTATATTTTACATTATTTATATATTTTGCATATTTGTACTTTTGATGTATATATATCAACAGTTTATTATGTTTTATATTTGTTTATTTATCATGTAATGCCTTGCTACTGCTGTAAACAATGGGGATCAATACCTAAAGTGCATTACAAAAAGAAACATATTTATATATATTTTTAATACATTTTTAAGGCCGAAGAAAAAGGGAATACATATGTGTTATTAGTGATTATAAAAAAATGAAATAAACATTAAGATAACGTTTATTTAACACTTAACATAACACAAAGTAGTCGTTAACCGACTGAACTTCCGGTGGTTACTAAGCGACAAACAAGTGTTTGTCCCCCGACGTCATCATCTTCCCGATCGCTGATTGGCGCAAAACGACCGACAGTTACAGTAATGGACACATCATGGTACACATCGGTGAGTCAAAGGACGGCCAAGATGTCTCCGGTCTCCACCTACGAAAATAAAAATTAATGCATCTGGCGCCACCCAGCGTTTGAGAAGTGGAGAATCTCTGAGTTAAATGTATAACTAAGTACATTTACTCAAGTACTGTACTTTAGTATCAAAATATCCTTAAAGTACCAAAAGTAAAAGTAGTCATTGTGCAGATTGGTCCATTTCAGAATAATATATATGATATGTTTTATAATGATTGATCATTAAAGTGTTCTCAAAGATGGTAAAGGTGCAGCTAGTTTGAATGAGTTTGTATACTGCAGGGTAGCTTGTGAATTTACTCCAGGTGGAACTAAAGTCTGATTTAAGACTTGATTATATTTCACATCATTCATCCACATCTGTAAAGTAACTAAAGGTATTAAATGCATGTAGTGGAGTAAAAGTACACCATTTACCTCTGAGTTGTAGTGGAGGAGAAGTACAAAGTAGCATGACATTGAAAGGCTGAAGTAAAGTACAAGTATCTCAAAATGGTACTTAACCCATAAGAACCCGGACCCATTTCTACTTTTGGGAAAATTAAGGGGAACATAATTTAGACTAAATAGACCACCTAGAACACATTTCTGACAAGAAATCCCCCCTAGTGTAAAATATCTGAAATATGACTTATATGTCACATTGGGCTTTAATGGTAAAATAAGTCTTATTTTTAACTTAATTAATGAGGATGATTTTTTGGTTTAAATTAGTTTGAACATTCTTTGAATTGAAGAATAAAGAATATATTAACTCAATATAATTGAATCAGCTAAATTAACTGAGCAGATCATAATAATATTTCTAATTGTGCATATATGTCACTTTGGGTTTACTGTGAAAGTTTAGGGTTAAAGTCCCGATGTGACATCAGTGTCACAGCGATGTTTATCTCATTTGTTTCATATCAATTTGATCAATAAATGTTTCCACAACAGGTTAAATGTAATAAAGGACATGTTATGTAGGCATTTTCACTCTTAAATGGCTTGAATTTTACCTTTAGCAACAACAACAAAAAGCTTTTGAAATGTAGCTCGTTATGTCACATGTGTTAGCCTGGCACATGGACATGTTGTTATGGGAACACAAAATCACATGTCCTGGACCATGACCCACCAGACTGTTCAGTGTCACTTAGGGACTTCATGAGATAAAATAAAGGCTTAAGCTGTATAAGGAACTTTCCAGAACATTTAAAGTTCATGTGACACCTGTGTCATAGGCTACTTGAGTAAATGTACTTAGTTATTTACACATCTGGATAACCGTCAGTGTCAGTGGGGGCTTGTTAATGACACCGGTAGCCTCATTAAGCCAAATTGACTTAGACAAAATAAAACCAAACATGATGTCTACATCTTTTCTGTGTGGTTATTTGTTTGGTTTTATAAAGAAAAGAAAAAAAAATAGGATTTGCCTGACAGTCTGAATTTAGGGCACTAAAAACAAACTCTATCTCTGCTTTCCCACAATCCATTGCGAACAGAAAGGGTCCCTCTTATTTGTATCCATTGGGGCTCCTGCAGCGAAATAGAAACGCTCATCTTACGCGTTACGTTTTCCCGTTAACCGTATTTAATGGGCTTTTATCCGGATATCTCACAGTGTTACTAGCCGCTGGGTTTTATTTCACACGTGTTAGCAGCAGGTGAGTGAATCCTCACATGACCGCTGAAGCTAACAGAGCTAGCAAGGCCACAGCTAGCTAGCTTTAGCTAATGATGCTAGTTAACGTGAAGGAATTACACTTTTTTTTACTAAACAGGTAGTAACTGGTTAGTTTGAGACGTCAGCTGACATATATATAGTTAAAGTAAAGTGTAATATTATGATTAACATGACATAGCCCAGGTTAGCCTCTGAAGAACACTGTTTCCCTGGTTTTCAGCTGATCATCCTCTGTTCCTGATAGCTTTCTGTGTATTAAAAGTGTTTCTGATTTGTTGATTTCTTTCAGGATGTCATACCCTCCTCCCATGAACCGCCAGCAGATCGGCATCCCGCAGTTACCCCCCCGGATCCCCCCTCCTCAGTATGCGGGGTTTGCACAGACTGTCCCCCCAGGTACGTTAGTGTTAGCTTCATATCAGAACAAGTACCCATATGTTAGAGTCAAAGTAGTAATAACAGATTGTAAAAATGCTATGTGACAAGTCAAAGTCCTGCATTGACAATCTTACTTAACTACAAAATAATTGCCTTCAAAAGAATCCAGAAGTACTTGTTATGCATAACAGATCCTTTCTTCCTGTAGCAGTCAGGCTGTACAACCACAACACATACAACAACACAAACAACAACAACACAAACAAAGACTGCGAAACCACTGTTTGGCAATAACACCAATGTGCAATATATACCTATATATACAATTATAATTACTGGCTGCCTTCTTAGTTTGACAAACTCTAATTCATCTGTAAGTAACTCTGTCTAGTATATAAAAGTTTAAAGTAGAAAGAGAGAGTTACCAACATTTCTTTGTAAACGTTATTGCTATAACCTTGGGTAATCTCACACAACAAAACATAGAATTGTGTGTGGTTGTGTGAAGTTATATTCCTCACTACATGGTTTGTTTATTGTATCTTGTGTTTATTTCCAGGTACTCCCATGATCCCGGTTCATATGGGCGTTTTGACCCCCACACCCTCAGTGAGTTGGAAACGGTTCTTACTGTATGTGATTTAAAGCATCAGCTGTTCTATAAAACCTGACTGATCCTTACTTACTGTCACTCTTGAATCGGTTTGATATTCTGCTGCTCAACAGAGCGGTGCAGGGATGACGTATTTTTGTAGGCCGACCCGGAAGTAAGCTGCTGGTTCCCTCGACAAAAAAGCAACGGGATTTCTCCATAGGATTTTGGAATATTGTAAAAAAGAAATGCACATTTTGTTCAGCCGGATAATCTCCACATGTCTACCCTACTTTTATAATTTTCTAATCATAAATCTAATCGCCAGAATCAAAATGCTAACGTTATGCTATAAACAAAATACAGCCGAGTACAGCAGCACGACTTCAACGTCACGCCAACTTAAGATCCATAATCAAACATACAGATTCTAAATGGTACAAGTTGAAGCGTTTGTTTGAACAGTCTGCAGGAGGCAGGTACTTGCTTTCAAGCAGAACAGGGCAAACAAACTTAGAGGAGTGTTTACGTGTTCGGTGTAATGACATACAACGTCCTCCACAACTTCTGTAGTCCTATTCAGCCACTTGGTAACAACCATCGTTTTTCAGACACGTCAACTCTTCAAAAATCACCAGTGGGGTCACTGCTGATGTATCTAATGTCGTAGAACAAAACGTGATCCGTCTCTTAAATTTGTGTCAAACACAGACCTTATTTCCAGCTATTTTCCAAAAACTAGTTCAAAAAACCCACTGACTCTGAGACGAGGGAACCAGAAGTGGTAAAATGCTAACTCACTTCCGGGTTTTAGGACTCGTCACTTCACCACTCTACAGAGACATTTGTAATCTAATTATAGTCATTCTAGCACTTTTTGTGACTTGCCTTTGTTGTTGCGCTGGATTACAGTAACACCTGTTTTGTGATGTTGCAGGTTCTCATCCCGACCTCAGTGTCTATAACCCATAAGCCGATGCTCATAAAGAAGGACCCGATCATCAGAGCCTCGGACGACAACGGCGGCCCGACCACCACCGTGTTCGTGGGGAACATCTCTGAAAAGGCTTCTGACATGTTGGTCAGACAGCTGCTTGCGGTAAGTGTACCTACCCCACCCTTTTATTGAAGACATTATTTTAAGCAGTAAATATCCTAGGAATGCTCAAACGGTAACAGTTAATTGCATAGGTTCGAGTTTCAGGCAACAGGCAGTTTATACACATCGAGTGATGCAGCATCTTTTGTCCGAGAAAATCACTTGAACAATCCCAACATAACAGGTTTTGAGCATAACTGGTCATAACTTGTCTCAAGGGTGGTACTCATACTGTGGTCTTTTCTGATACTCTTATCATATCGTTAAAACCTCACAGCGTTGCAGCCCTACTCGTCATGACATATCCCGGAACAAATGAATCAGAAATACTGCAACCTTTCCTAGCACTGAATGTTTAATCCTTTTTTTCTCTTCTCTTTCAATATAGAAATGTGGTATTGTTCTGAGCTGGAAAAGGGTGCAAGGTGCCTCTGGGAAACTTCAAGGTAGGAAACACAAAGACACAACACATTATTTTCCCAAAAAAGCCAAGCTGTTGCAAGACAATGCGATGGCAGTTATATAGAAGAAAATAGCCTATTTATTAGACCATTTTGAAATATGCTTATCCCTCAAAGTAATAGAAGAGATGGGTCGAGGTTTTTTTTTAAATAACCCAGCCATTATTGAAGCTAATACATACGCCCTTACCGCAAACGTTTGCCTGATCAACTACTGAAACAGACCCACAGGCAGAATTGTCTGAGAGCTGAGACAAAGACTGTCAGTGAGGGCAGCCCCTGTCTCTTAATAGGCAATTATTTCCTAATGGAAGTGACACAGACGTATTGAAGTCAATGGAGAGAGAAAGATTATCTTTCGATCCCGTTTGAATTGTGCCACGAATTACACATATGATGTTTGTCAATCTTAAAAAATAATTTCCATGTCAAAAAAGTCACAGTTTGTCGTAAAACTGTTGAAATATAAGACTATGAAAAATACGCAACTAGAAAGACTACAAATCCCAGAATCCCGGTCCCGCATGCTGGCTCTTACGGAACCGACTAACTCCCCTTGTGTGTATGTACAGCTCTCAACATGCCCAGACTTGGAGTGATTTTCACCTCTTTTAATACTTTCCGCCTCATTCTGAAAGAAAGAAGTGAAATGTGCCAACGTGACGGCCGTCTTGGTGTGTGGTGCGAGACGGGAGATGTAGTTCATTGAGCGGTTTCACACAAAAAAAAGTGTTACTTCACAGTTTTACGACACATTTTTATTTTTTTGACTTGTAAAATTATCTTTTAAATTGACAAACATCATATGTGTAATTCGTGGCACAATTAAAACGGGATCGAAAGATAATCTTTCTCTCCCCATTGACTTCAATACATACTTATTCCGAAATAAGGTCCCATGGAGCTCAACCGGGAGGGGAGGGACTTCGCCTCTCTATAGTAAAATTGGATTTTAGAATTGACTGATTAACAAGACAGTGATAGACCTACTAACTGTTATTTTCAGCATTGAATTTCAGTGAATATAAATAGGTATTTTTTTGCACACATTTTTCGAAAAATCATCATTCTTTGTTAGATTTCATATTTTTCATTGCAAATATTGAAAGATATCAGGTTTGTTTCTGTAAATCATCGTCTCTCTGCTCTCCTTTCCTGAAGCGTTTGGGTTCTGTGAGTACAAGGAGCCGGAGTCCACGCTGCGAGCGCTCAGACTTCTTCACGAGCTGATGTTAGGAGACAAGAAGCTGCTCGTGAAGGTCGACGCCAAGACCAAGAGCCAGCTGGAGGAGTGGAAGGCCAAGAAGAGGAGCGCCAACGGGGTACGCTCTTCGCCTGATGAGGGTTTACTTTTTCTCATATATTTATCCAAGAACCATCGACATCAAGTGCACACTAAACGGTGCTTAGCTGGGGTACATGTATAGGAAAAACAATCTAAAGGAATATGATATCATTGGTCCTTTTTAAATATTCAATTTCAAAAACAACATTAGTTTTTATTACCTTCTCATCCCACGCAGCAAGCAGGAAATGAACCCAGCTCACACTGTCCGCTCCTCGCAGCAGTGAGCCCCGCAACGTCCCGGCAACACGGCACCCAGACCCCACGCAGCATTACTGGTGTCATTTTCTGGTTGCTAACAAACGCCATTGTAACACATAATCACTGATGTTCCGCTGTAACGCTGGTGGACTCATCAGAACAGAGTGGGCGAGCTGACCAATCAGAGCACAGTGGGCTCACAGGGAGGGGGGGAGGCAGGAGCTCCAACAAGGCGTGTAGGACAGAAATGAAACAAATGATTAAATGAGAAATGTCCAACGAGGCGTTCTGGGGCAGCATAGACAGGTCTTTTCTGTGTTAGAGTTTTACTCGCTACATGGTGTACTTTGAGGGTTTGTGACTCTGCAGACCGTTTACATGCAGAAAAAGCTACATAACACACAAGGTGATGGGTAATAACCAGAAAATCATGACATGGGACCTTTAAGAATATTAAGTTTATCATTTTTTTAAATGCTATATCAATATTTTAGGTAGTTTCTCATAATACAGACTTACAGAGTCTTTCTTTCTTCCTCTCATTGACCGAAATGGACTTCCATAAAAATGTCTTCTTTGAAACAGCAGATTAAAATATAATTCATTTATGTTGAGTTGGGGTTATAAGTTTGTCATTTTCTGGTTTTGTCTCTCAGGGCGCAGGTGTTGGGTCAAAGAACGGGGACGACGATGACGATGACGAGGAGGTCCTGGATGAAGAGACTCTGCACCGGGACCAGGTGGTGAAGGGAGCAATAGAAATCCTGACCCGAGAGTACGCCAGCGAGCTGAACGCTCCGTCACAGGACCCCGACAACCAGCCGCGCAACAAGAAGAGGAAGGAGAAGAAGGAGGAGGTAGGTTTTAATTAAGAAGATTCAAGGCTTTTATTAGTCATGCGTACATAGCTACAGTGTAGTCATGACGATGAAAATCTTAGGTCACACGTTCCACCAACAGTGCAACACAATAAAACAGAAAAAATATTGCAAGTAAATACAAAAAGAAAAATAGTGAGATAGTGCAATGATCTGTAGCTTACTGTTAAACTGTATTTAAAAGCTAAATAATAACAAGCTACTAAACATATATAAATATGATAAATAAATTAGATCAGATATGTCACACCTTAGCAAAGCAAAATAATCGTTTTTTTCGATGATGATGTTTTCGTAATTGTGGCAGGCCAAAATCGTAATTGCGATTAAAATACGATTAATTGCACAGCCCTAACGTTTGAGTACTTAGTTTGTCTTTCTGGTCTTTCTCTCCTTTATGGAAGGAGGATATCAACGCCATGGAGATGGAGGACGACAAGAGAGACCTGATATCCAGAGAGATCAGTAAATTCAGAGACACACACAAGGTAATGTATCAAACTGCTCTTATTACTCACTCATTTTAGATATATGAAATCCTTTTATAATTCCTCTATATCTCTATGGAGCTGCAGTTAAGATAACTTGTAGGGTGAATTCCTCCATAACATAGAGAGGCGAAGTCCCGCCCTTCTACTTCCGACCCATGGGACCTTATTTCGGAAAAAGTATGTATTGAAGTCAATGGGGAGAGAAAGATTATCTTTGGATCCCGTTTGAATTGTGCCACGAATTACACATATGATGTTTGTCAATCTTAAAAAATAATTTCCATGTCAAAAAAGTCACAGTTTGTCGTAAAACTGTTGAAATATAAGACTATGAAAAATACGCAACTAGAAAGACTACAAATCCCAGAGTCCCGGTCCCGCATGCTGGCTCTTAGGAACCGACTAACTCCCCTTGTGTGTATGTACAGCTCTCAACATGCCCAGACTTGGAGTGATTTTCACCTCTTTTAATACTTTCCGCCTCATTCTGAAAGAAAGAAGTGAAATGTGCCAACGTGACAGCCGTCTTGGTGTGTGGTGCGAGACGGGAGATGTAGTTCATTGAGCGGTTTCACACAAAAAAAAGTGTTACTTCACAGTTTTACGACACATTTTAATTTTTTTTACTTGTAAAATTATCTTTTAAATTGACAAACATCATATGTGTAATTCGTGGCACAATTCAAACTGGATCGAAAGATAATCTTTCTCTCGCCATTGACTTCAATACATACTTTTTCTGAAATAAGGTCTCATGGAGGTCCACCGGAAAGGGAGGGACTTCGCCTCTCTATAGTTACTGTCAACTCTAGTAAAAAAGCAATGTGTTTATATTCAGATGGTGAAATTCAAACATTAAAGGAATAGAAAGTAGTAGATTTTCCAATATTTTTATACTATCTTATTTGATTTCTCTAAGTAGTATCTGTCAGTGTTTCCACATTGGACCAGAGTACATATTGGTCTTTATAGTTCAGATTTGAGACTAAAGGTTTTGCACAGACTTCACACAGAGTGCATGGACACGATGTTAAATCCCTCTAAAGCTAATCTATTGATTAAACCCCACCAATGTGGTAGTGTTCATTGGGTGACTAGAGCAAGATGAATCTCAGAATCTCTGCTTGAGGATAGGATGTAAGTATGATCCTCCATTTCTTCTCTACTCATGTTGGGCGCCCCCTGCTGGAGGCTCTGCAGAGGGGCAACTGGCTCTCAGCTCACTGTGATTATTCTTTATTTTAAAAGTGGGTTTTTGGGGAAACAAACTGGATTCATACAGATTTCTGGCGATGCACAGATGTCAGGGCAGCTCAGTGAACCTCTGCAGTTCCTCACATGATAAATGATGTGTTTGAGGAACAAGCACAGCCTGTATGAGCCTAACCACTGCAGAGTTTGAACTGCAGCATCTAGTGTTATGAAGCAGGGAGCGCCCGTCCACAGCACTCTGAGTCTGAAGACATGCAAGGTGAGTGGATTTATTTCAGTTTTTCTTTCTTTCTCCTGGTCTGTGATCCAGTGACTCCAGCCCCACTAGACTTAAGTAAACAAGGGAATATATGAGTGGATCACCGTGGTGTTATTAATGAGGAGGACGAAGCTGCATGGACAAAGGGAGACGCAACTAAATCAGAACTTCAAACACTGTTACTGATCGAGCTGCAAAAATAAAAGCCATAACTGGAAGTCATTTTTTATGCAAAGATATCAGAAAAAGCTTGTTTTAGCCTCTCAGATATAACAACAATTACCCTTTCCATGTGTTATATTATATTAAATTGAAAATGTAAGACTTTAAACCTTGGACAGAAACCAGGATTGTAATTGGAATTAGTTGCAGCCCACATTACATAGGTGGCCCAAATTGTATAAAGACCTATTCTCTTAAAGGTCACCTATTATGCTAAATCCACTTCTTCATGTCTCTTCTACATCAACATGTGTCCCCTCTGTGTAAAGACACTCTGAAAGTTTCAGGAACAAAGATTCTCTCTCTTTTTGTCCTGATCCATTTCTATAAAAACCTGTCTGAAAATGAGCTGATCAGATTTTGGCCATTTTATGATGTCATAACGATTTGTTGGCTTGTCTAACCATTAGCCAATCAGCAACCAAGGTAACCCCCCCCACCCCCCACCTTATCACCTGAATCTCCGCCTAGACCACCATTGTGTTCCTTTTACCCAAATCTCTCTCAGAGGGGCGTGGGGAGGGGCTCCTTATTTTCATCTAAAGTAACAGACAGAGAATCAGCACTTTTGAAACAGGGCTGAAACAGAGGGGATTATGGGATGCTGCAATGATCTGATTGGTGTTTCAGCCAATCAGAGACAGGTTCTGTATATATCTGAGACCTATAATATATTGATGAAAAACAGTACAATAGGGGACCTTTAAACTATTTTACTATTATTTTGTACTTCTGTATAAAATAGTGTCCGACAATCAGCTCTTTTATGTTTTAAAAGAATGAATAGTCCACTGAAAGATCAAAACAAGCCAAAACTGCAGGTTAAGTATAAGAAAAAAGACAATTCCTGCACATAGTGATATAATAATGTATGTATTACTCTTTTTAGCAGCTCTTTTAAAAATAAATTAATGAGGGGAAAATAAGAGGGGAAAAGCGTGTGCAGGAATTTGAAAATGAACCCCATAGAGACAGAACAAGGGGTTGAAAGTTAAGATGCATGATGGATATCACATCCCAAATAAAAGGGGAACTTGTAACCATAACGATGAGGTGGTCTCAGACATGCAGTTTGAAATATAAGATCGTTAACACCTTCTGCATGCAACTTAAAACAGCTCGCCTCAGTCACAGTGTTTGAAACGTTGATGTTCTCACGCAGTACGTCTCAAACTAACCCTTACAAATCAGTCAATAACCGAATTGTAGAACAAGAGGTAAGTTATAGGATGAAAACAGGACATGCAATGAGTTGGCTCCTTAAAATGACAACTCGATGTGTGGTTCTCCAACAGCACTGAGCACTCCCATGTGTTAGACGTTTGTTAAATCACACAGTAGAGGTTTTTATTATTATTATTTATTGGGTTGGAGAGGCCATAGAGATGCCAGAAGACTTCCTACAGGTAAGACTGTTTCTCTAATATCCTTGTGTCAAAATGAAATCTGTCTCAGTTGTTGTTGTTTATGTGGCTGAACGAGCTGTAATTAGATGCTTCACAGGTATCGTGTGGACGTTTTTTTGTTCCTGATTATTTCTGACTTTACACATGACCTGTTTTGCTCCCACACGTAGCCTGTAGGATGTGTAGGAGCTGAAGTTCATCCCCTGTGAGTCACACCTGTAGCTCCACAACGGTCTGTAGAAAACACCATGACTTTATGATGACTAGTTGGAAAGCAGACAAATGGTCAATACTTACACAAGATATTTAGAGTTCAGTCAAGGTACAAAAAAAGTCCAGGGAATAGATTTTTGAAGAGAATTAGAAATGTTTACATTTTTTCCCAGGTTCATTTTATTTGGGGGAAATTGCAATTTAACAATGACATTTAAATTAAGAAAATATTTATATTAACAGGTAAATAAAACGTGAAAATATATCAAATAAGTTAAAGTAACATTTTAAATCAAAACTAATGTAAAAATATGTATATAAGAAATTAAGGTAAAATGTCCGAAAAAATAAGGTTAAAAATATAAATTCAATATTTCTCTAAACATAAGAAATTCGAGTTAAATGTGCAATAAAAGACAACGAAAAAAAAACGTGAAAAAGTGTATGTAAAAATAAGAAATAAATATATAATGTCTTATAAAATAATATTTTATGTTACATGTGCCAAATATTGATTTAACAAGAGGTATCTGGTACTGTAGTTTTAAATATGTGTCTGTTTAAATAGCAATTATGCAAAATAGCCCACATGATGATGATAAAAGTTAATACAGTTAAAAAAGAGACGTGCAGCTCTCACTGTTGTATTGCACATCTCGTATGTAATGGGAGCTGATTATATAATTCTCTCAATCGGGACATTTGCCACGTTAATCTCGGGGCTTTTATAAATCCACTTGGCACCCCGAGGTGAGATCAGAGCGGTGTGACGTTAGATCAACTGGATGACCTCATAAATATAGCGTTAAGTGAGGCTGTACCGTTCTTAATTTACACTCAAATGCTGCAGACTTGTGCATGTTTACTGCACAGTCAAAAATCAAGATGAGGCAAAATTAATATTCTTTTTACTATTTATTTTTGTAGAATTATATTCCAGTGGTGCCTGCGGAGGATTGTCTCAGGCTCGTGGGATTCAAACATTTAAAAATAATAAATACAGAGTGTTTTAAAGTGCTGAAAGTCAACCTTTATTGTGACATTTCATTGTCATAATTTCCAAAATTCACAATTTAACCCTCAAAAAACGCCAGAAATACAGTTTTCTGCACAAAAAGGGATGCACTGACAAGTTGTAAATAGATAAACAGAAATGAATTATAATACAAATTGACCAACTCATTAAATCTGATTATTCGTGTAAGGATTTTAAAAAAAATTTCAGACAAAAAATATGACCAGAAACATTTAATGCTTCATTCAAAAGAAGCTTCAAGTGTAAAAATCAAATCAAAAAGTGTACAGCCCTGCATGAAAAGAACAACTTTGAATAACACCCAAAGAATAATGCAAATCTGTGGAAAAGCATTACATAATATTTACATGGTTAAATAAACATTTAACCCACCGTGTGTTTCCTGCATCCGGTCAAAGCCATTACCTCCCTGCACTTATAGCCTGCATTGATTTGTTTGTAGAGTGGGTAGACATGTGTTCCACTATATATAGTATTTATTGGACTGGCCCTCTTGTTACATCAGAGCGTAATCTCAGAGGACGGGATGACCTGTTATATATGTGAGAAAGAAAACACTCCATATGAGAGAACGTGAGAAAAGAGTAGATAGGAAGTGATCTATGCAGCACTTTGGGGTAACAAAGAAATACAATAATGCTAATGGTAAAAGTGTTTTTAATATTGGATTACATGAGATTAAGCTTTATTATCATTGCATAACTACAAGGACAACGAAAGGCATCTGAGCAGAAGTGCAGAATAATGTATAATATAATATAAGTATATCAATATGACAGATAAAAAAGCTGAAGTACTGTACATGCAGTATAATACTAAAATATCAAGAATAAAATAAAGAATTACTTAAAGGGGACCTATCATGCAAAATGCACTTTTTGATGTCTTTTATACATAAATATTTGTCCCCGGTGTGTCAGGGAACTCACGCAGCGTCAGAAAATAAAACCCTCTCTCTTTTCCTCCGTACCCAAATCTCTAAAAACGGGGGAACAACGGAGCTGATCCAGATTTGCGTCCGATATGACGTAATATCGTAAATGTAGGCTGGCTTTACACCCACGGCCCTATCAGAAACGTTGCTATCAGAAACAATGCCCGACTGTTTTGGACGTAATATGGTCGGTGTTTACATTAGCATCGCTAACACTCAGAGCTAACCTGTACTGGAGAGCATGTGTGTGAAGAAGCAGGAAATAAAAAGGAACTCACCTTGTGGTATAACCGGCAAGAGAGAAAGCCTTTGAGCTCCATACTGTTTCAGAAAGAATCCTTGATAATCCATGATATGGCGTTTCATCACCGCAGTATTTAGTTTAGACAGTAGCTGCCGGGTCCCGCATGAGCTCAGCCCCCTCCTTTTTTATTTTTTAAAGCTTTATACCCAAAATCAGCACTTTTGAAACAGGAAGTGAAATAGAGGGATATGAGGCATGGCTAGAATGGGTGATCTGTTTGGTATTTTGAGCAAAACACTTCAAAGACATGTTTTTTATATATTTTTATATATCTGAGACCTATGCTATTGCCTAAAAATAGCATGATAGGTGACCTTTAAGAATAATTCTTCATATTATACAAATATTAAGAAATATACAAAATGATAATAATAAAATAAAGCTTTTTGTTTAGAATTGTTCATACACAGGATTCATCTAAAAAAAGGAATAAATAAGAATCACTATGGACCAGTACTGACACTATCACACATCATATGAATACACATGACTAGCAATAGAAGATGGAGCTGTTTAGACGGTAATAATAATATGCAGTCAGTCAGGTTTTCTCTTCCTCTTCTTCCTTTAATAGAAGTTTCTAGGTGTTTGTTTCCAGGGTTTCTCTGTAATGTATGGTCTTAAGTTAGTGTGTGTGCATTAAACAGCGGACCTCCTGCAGGAAACAAGAGGAGCAGCTGTGAGTCCTGGCAGTATGTGAGCATGTCTGGCCAATGGAGGCGAATTATTTCCAGTATCCTGCTTTTAAAACATGTTTGTTGTATTTAATTATGATGTATTAAAAATATGGAGAATCTAGTAACACATTTGTTTTCCCGTTTTCTTCCTGTCGCGGTCCTGCAGAAGCTGGAGGAGGAAAAAGGAAAGAAGGAGAAGGAGCGAATGGAGATCGATAAGGAGAGGAGGGAGAGGGACAAAGAGCGGGAGAGAGAGAGGGAGCGCCGGGACCGCGAGAAGGAGAAGGAGAGGGAGAGGGAGAGAGACAAGGAGCGAGAGAGAGACCGGGACCGCGAGAGAGAGAGAGATCGTGAGCGAGAGAGGACGAAGGAGAGGGAGAGGACGAGGGAGAGAGAGAGGAGTCGAGACGTCAGCGAGGGGCGGAGCAGATCCAGGTGAGTGGAGCTGAGGGGTCAGAGGTCATGTAACTTATTATGAGATCAATGCAAATGTGATGAGATCCAACCTTCTTGTCTTCATTGCCTTCTTAAAGGTCACCTATTATGCAAAATCCACTTCTTCATGTCTCTTCTACATCAACACGTGTCCCCTCTTCTTCATGTCTCTTCTACATCAACATGTGTCCCCTCTTCTTCATGTCTCTTCTACATCAACATGTGTCCCCTCTTCTTCATGTCTCTTCTACATCAACACGTGTCCCCTCTTCTTCATGTCTCTTCTACATCAACACGTGTCCCCTCTTCTTCATGTCTCTTCTACATCAACACGTGTCCCCTCTTCTTCATGTCTCTTCTACATCAACATGTGTCCCCTCTTCTTCATGTCTCTTCTACATCAACATGTGTCCCCTCTTCTTCATGTCTCTTCTACATCAACACGTGTCCCCTCTTCTTCATGTCTCTTCTACATCAACATGTGTCCCCTCTTCTTCATGTCTCTTCTACATCAACACGTGTCCCCTCTTCTTCATGTCTCTTCTACATCAACATGTGTCCCCTCTTCTTCATGTCTCTTCTACATCAACATGTGTCCCCTCTTCTTCATGTCTCTTCTACATCAACACGTGTCCCCTCTTCTTCATGTCTCTTCTACATCAACATGTGTCCCCTCTGCTTCATGTCTCTTCTACATCAACATGTGTCCCCTCTTCTTCATGTCTCTTCTACATCAACACGTGTCCCCTCTTCTTCATGTCTCTTCTACATCAACATGTGTCCCCTCTTCTTCATGTCTCTTCTACATCAACACGTGTCCCCTCTTCTTCATGTCTCTTCTACATCAACATGTGTCCCCTCTTCTTCATGTCTCTTCTACATCAACATGTGTCCCCTCTTCTTCATGTCTCTTCTACATCAACATGTGTCCCCTCTTCTTCATGTCTCTTCTACATCAACATGTGTCCCCTCTTCTTCATGTCTCTTCTACATCAACATGTGTCCCCTCTTCTTCATGTCTCTTCTACATCAACATGTGTCCCCTCTTCTTCATGTCTCTTCTACATCAACATGTGTCCTCTCTTCTTCATGTCTCTTCTACATCAACATGTGTCCCCTCTTCTTCATGTCTCTTCTACATCAACATGTGTCCCCTCTTCTTCATGTCTCTTCTACATCAACATGTGTCCCCTCTTCTTCATGTCTCTTCTACATCAACATGTGTCCCCTCTTCTTCATGTCTCTTCTACATCAACATGTGTCCCCTCTTCTTCATGTCTCTTCTACATCAACATGTGTCCCCTCTTCTTCATGTCTCTTCTACATCAACATGTGTCCCCTCTGCTTCATGTCTCTTCTACATCAACATGTGTCCCCTCTTCTTCATGTCTCTTCTACATCAACATGTGTCCCCTCTTCTTCATGTCTCTTCTACATCAACATGTGTCCCCTCTTCTTCATGTCTCTTCTACATCAACATGTGTCCCCTCTGCTTCATGTCTCTTCTACATCAACATGTGTCCCCTCTGCTTCATGTCTCTTCTACATCAACATGTGTCCCCTCTTCTTCATGTCTCTTCTACATCAACATGTGTCCCCTCTTCTTCATGTCTCTTCTACATCACCATGTGTCCCCTCTTCTTCATGTCTCTTCTACATCATCATGTGTCCCCTCTTCTTCATGTCTCTTCTACATCACCATGTGTCCCCTCTTCTTCATGTCTCTTCTACATCATCATGTGTCCCCTCTTCTTCATGTCTATTCTACATCAACATGTGTCCCCTCTTCTTCATGTCTCTTCTACATCAACATGTGTCCCCTCTTCTTCATGTCTCTTCTACATCAACATGTGTCCCCTCTGTGTAAAGAGACTCTGAAAGTTTCAGGAACAAAGATTCTCTCTCTTTTTGTCCTGATCCATTTATATAAAAACCTGTCTGAAAATGAGCTGATCAGATTTTGGCCACTTTATGATGTCATGACGATTTTTTGGCTTGACAAGGTAACCCCCCCCCCCCCACCTTATCACCTGAATCTCCTCCTAGAGCACCATTAGGCGCTTTCACACCAGAGAACTTTTCCCCCCTTTTCAGTCCCTGCTAGAGAGCAGGGTCTTTCCTGGGGAGAAAAAAGTTCAAATTTCTGATTGGCTGGGCGAATTGCAAACCACGCCCCGTAAAACTCTGCAAAGTTTTGTGAAGCCGCCATTGTATTTGCTGGCATTAGCATTATTAGCATTAGCCCAGCGCACCAACGGAGAGAGACTAACTTATGGCAACAAAAAAGAAAACATGGGAGCGGCAGAAGTGATGAGGAGGTGTCGGCGTTCTGGCGATTTACTCGGAAGGCTTCAGTAGAAGCTGCTGGGAGTCCCAGCAGCTTCTACTGAAGCCAGTCCCCAACTCCGGGGACTTCCGGCCAGGGACTTCGGGTGGCAGTATACGCCGTGAAGTTGTTTGCGGCCTGCCAGTAAACCCAAAGAAGAAGAAGAAGTGACGTTGGCGGCTTCATTTGCCTAATCCTTCCTCAGGGACTTATTCCGGTGTGAACGTGATCTACTAGATAGTTCCATGGGGGAACTAAGTACGGCAAAGTACTTTTTAACCAAATCTCTCTCAGAGGGGCGTGGGGAGGGGCTCCTTATTTTCATCTAAAGTAACAGACAGAGAATCAGCACTTTGGAAACAGGGCTGAAACAGAGGGGATTATGGGATGCTGCAATGATCTGTTTGGTGTTTGGAGCCAAACACTTCAGAGACATGTTCTGTATATATCTGAGACCTGTAATATATTGATGAAAAACAGTATAATAGGGGACCTTTAAAATGAAAGCTGCACAATTAGGATTTGGAATGGTGCAATGTCTAAATAGCAGGAAGCAAAATATCTGTAAGAGAACTGGGACCTAAGTGTAGTAAATCTGTTAGTTACTGCATTATAAGTGTATGTATTCATGTATTTGAATGGCTCTGGTACAAAACTAATCCAACTGTTCTGCAGAGAGAGGACTCGAGAAGACAAGAAACGAGACCGTGAAGAAGACGAGGAGGACGTTTACGAGCGGAGGAGACTGGAGAGGAGGCTCCGAGACAAGGAGGCCGCTTACCAAGAAGTACGTTCATCATCTCTCCTGTCATTTAGATTTTGTTCAATTAAATGCTAAATAAAGAAATGCATTTAAGGACTGTACTTTGTTTATGTCTGACTCAGTGATGGTTATCTTTCTTCTTAAAGCGCCTGAAAAACTGGGAGATCCGGGAGAGGAAGAAGGCTCGCGACTACAGCAAAGAGACGGAGCGCGAGGACGAGAGGCGTCGGGAAATGGTACTCATGAATACAAACCACAGCAAATTACAAGCATATAATTACAGCCATTGGTGTCAGACAGTGTTTCCGCCAGACCAGGGCTGAGAGGGCGTCCACCCCGAGAGCGGGGGGTGTGACGTCACGTCGCGTCACGTGACTTGAATTTTGAATTGAGCCGTCCCTTTTATCAGGGTGTCCGCGGGGTCTTAAAAAGTATTCAAAGTTGATAAATCAATTTAGCGAAAATTAAGGCTATTAAAAAGTATTAAACGGCATTTTCCAAGGTATTACATTTTGTAGCTTGTTTTCAATAAGTATATAAATTGTCCAAAGAGGTTGTATTCTACAGTTTGCCTGAATGTAATCATTGCGTAGGTGTGTAGTGTGATTCTGTGTAGTTTATTTATGGCATCCCGTTGGATTTGACGTCATCTGAACAGGACATCGCACGCTCACTGCTTGATAGCGCGCGAAGGTCCGTTTACGCCGGTTGTTAAACAACATGGTTATGGGGAAATGCAAGTTAGCGTCCAAATGGTTGGAAGATAAGGAGGAAGGACAATCAATACTGTATATAGTAAATGTGAGGTAAAGTGTGTCGCCAATGTAACCGGTTAGAACTCAAAGTGGCTTAAAATGTATGGAAAGGGTCTTAAAAGGTCTTACATTTGACTTCAGGATTCCTGTTATAGATACTATCTCTTTACGTATTAGTGATGGGAATTCCGGCTCTTTTTAGTGAGTCGGATCGTTTGGCTCGGCTCACTAAGAAGAGCCGGCTATTTCGGCTCCTAAGCGGCTCTTCATGTTACCACAGTTTACCACGGAGCCTCAGTTTCGCCGCTGCGAGGCTCCGGCGCTCGCAGTTCACGCGCGTGCTCCACTAGCACCCCCCGTCAAGGCTCGCCGGCAGTACACTTTCCGTCACAGGAACACGCTTTGCTGGCGGCGAAAATAATCCCACCAGACTCCTTTGCCCCTCCAACTGAGGGATGTCCTTGTCCTTTTTCCCTTTCGTCATTTCAAGCTATAAAAACTCTCGATCTTCTCTCGAATTCTAAAAAAATGTAGACGGCAAGACGCCCGCCTGGCGGAAACGCTGGTGTCAGACGATGTGTTATTCAAGATTCAAGGCTTTTATTGTCATGTGTGCATAGCTACAGAGTAGTAATGACAATCTTAGGTCACAGGCTCCTCCAACAGGGCAACACAATCAAATAGAATAGAATAGAAATAGTGCAGAATAGTGTATATACAAGGCATTGGAATATTGATATGTATGAGTTGCAAACAGATGGATGTTCTTCAAAAGTTCAGGTGTTTAACAGTGTTATGTGATGTTGACGACGTGATGTGTAAAGAATGTATGCAGATAACTATTATTGTGTTTGAATTCAGATGAAAGAAGCCAAAAGGCTGAAAGAGTTCCTTGAAGATTACGACGACGACAGAGACGACCCTAAATACTACAGGTAAATATCCTAAAGCTTATTTAGAAGCGTGAGCTGCACGCATGTCTTCGTTGTTTGACCTCTGCTTCTCGTCCTCAGGGGCAGCGCTCTGCAGAAGAGACTCCGTGACAGAGAAAAGGAGACAGAGCTGGACGAGAGAGACAGGAAGAGAGAGAAGGAGGAGCATGAGGAGATCAGACAGAGGCTGCTGGCTGAAGGTCACCCCGACCCTGAGGCTGAGCTGCAGAGGGTGAGTCCTGCTTTCATGCATTTCAGTAACAATGCGGAGGAAGACTACTCCCATGATCCCGAGATACCTTACGACGCAAACTAACTCGGGGCTTTTGCCAGAAAAAAAAGCACCTAAACGACGACATGCAGAGCTACGTGAAGAGCAGGTAGACCAACTGGAAAAGTACCACCATTCAAAAGCTTTCTGATGCGGGTCTTGAAACAAAGCAGAGAAATGATGACCGTTAGTGGCCACAGGTGCGAAAGCTCTCTCCAGAGCTACTGGAAGCCGAATCTCGGGGACCGGAGAAAGTGGAGCAATATTCTCGCCACGCCAAAAAACAGCCTAGAACAACCTCAACCTCAACCTATACAAGTAACCACGTAAGCCATGCTACTGATGCTGGACAGTTTTTCAGTGGGTGCACAATAAACGGCAACATACACTAATGTAAATAAATAGCCAAATAATGGATCAACGCTCTCTGTCTAATATAAGGGGCCGAACCACGCCCCCTAGCGCGCTTCGCATCAGGCCGAACCACGCCCCCTAGCGCGCTTCGCATCAGGCCGAACCACGTCCCCTAGCGCGCTTCGCATCAGGCCGAACCACGTCCCCTAGCGCGCTTCGCATCAGGCCGAACCACGCCCCCTAGCGCGCTTCGCATCAGGCCGAACCACGCCACCTAGCGCGCTTCGCATCAGGCCGAACCACGTCCCCTAGCGCGCTTCGCATCAGGCCGAACCACGTCCCCTAGCGCGCTTCGCATCAGGCCGAACCACGCCCCCTAGCGCGCTTCGCATCAGGCCGAACCACGCCCCCTAGCGCGCTTCGCATCAGGCCGAACCACGTCCCCTAGCGCGCTTGGCATCAGGCCGAACCACGCCCCCTAGCGCGCTTCGCATCAGGCCGAACCACGCCCCCTAGCGCGCTTCGCATCAGGCCGAACCACGTCCCCTAGCGCGCTTCGCATCAGGCCGAACCACGCCCCCTAGCGCGCTTCGCATCAGGCCGAACCACGCCCCCTAGCGCGCTTCGCATCAGGCCGAACCACGCCCCCTAGCGCGCTTCGCATCAGGCCGAACCACGCCCCCTAGCGCGCTTCGCATCAGGCCGAACCACGCCCCCTAGCGCGCTTCGCATCAGGCCGAACCACGCCCCCTAGCGCGCTTCGCATCAGGCCGAACCACGTCCCCTAGCGCGCTTCGCATCAGGCCGAACCACGCCCCCTAGCGCGCTTCGCATCAGGCCGAACCACGCCCCCTAGCGCGCTTCGCATCAGGCCGAACCACGCCCCCTAGCGCGCTTCGCATCAGGCCGAACCATGCCCCTTAGCTGTGATATAATGACCATATACCACGGCCTGTCGTGAGCTATTGCTTAAATATATAGACTTTTTGCAGTACTTTTTATCTTGTATTTTATTATATGTTGCATTGCTGGAGGAGCTCAGGTCAGAAGAATGTCATTGCCATTTCTACACTGTAGCTTATAAGACATTAAAACCTCTGAATCTTGAATAAAGAATATTTCTCACTTACGATTGCACGTGTAACCTGGACCTGTGGCACCAAATAAACATTACCTTTTAATAAAAAAATATATTTGATGATGTTTTGCCATAATGACGCGGCCCTAAATGCGTCTGTTAAAATGCTACCAGTCAACAGGTATTAATTATTGCACACATAATGAAAAGAGCACCAATAATTATCTGTTTTTTTGTGTTTCACTGTCGGAGGAGCCGGTTGTTGGGGAATAATTTGCCCTGCATGTCCTCCTCCTTCGCCCTCTGACGCAGCTGACCAACCTTGAGCAGCCGTTATCTCCCATAAGGAGGGGCTGCCCTAGCATTTTGTTGTTGTTACCAGTTTATGACCGGGCAACTGTCGGTCAGAGATAGTTATTGATGTGGGACACCTGGAACACATCCTTCTCGGGGTGTAGATGACCTCGAGCCATAAGCGACAACAAATGTGATTCAGTGTCCTCAGCTGTTTAGTCTATCTATTGAAGAATGTTGATTATTACACTCTGAACTAGTTAAATACATGGGTCTGGGGTAGGGCTGCACGATTTGGGGAAATAATCTAATTGCGATTTTTCTGACAGATATTGCAATTCGATTTGCGATATTTGTTTTTAAGCGACCCAACAGAAGTTTATTGTAAAATGCGGCCATATCTCCGGCTAGGAAGGTCGTATCAACGTGCTCCCGTCTCTAGCACCCCCGCAGCCCGAGCTACGAGTAGAAGAACTAAACTTACATGAAACTTCCGTTGGGTTGCTTTAAAGTCAAGCTTCAGTTTAAGATTCACCCTGTAATAGATGTGAAACATGTGATGGAGCGTTACTAACCTGACTCAGGTGGTTTGTTTCACCAAAGCATCTAGGAAAGCTCCATTGGAAGCCATTTGGAAAAGTATTTCAAAAACACTTGGCAGGTGATTGGATCAATCTGTCTATCACCTTCTATCATGGGCCACTTCTGATTGGTTAACAATGGCTGGTACATGTGGAGCACAGCACTTCTGATTGGTGTGGATGACTGACACACAAGAAAATAATAATTAAAAAAAATTGCAGGCTTTGCGATTTGATAATTGCATCATTTCATATCGCGATTTCGATTTAAAATTGATTAATCGTTCAGCCCTAGTCTGGGGTAGAGTTCTTCAGAATTTATTGTGGCATCTCAACCGTGTGGTCAACTCGTGGCCCGTGACATGTCTTGTGAATTCTCCGGCCGAAGCTCGTAATAAACCGTCAGTGTTTGACATCAAAGCTCCAGCTCTCGTCCTGACTCCTATTGCTTCAGAAGTTTCCCCCACACCTGTGACCTAAGATTTCCATCGACATAACTCCACTGTAGCTAATGTCCGAATGACAATAAAAGCCTTGAAACTTGAAACTAATGATATAATCGTTTCTCGATGTGTATGTCTCCAGATGGAGGAGGAGGCCGAGCGCAGACGGCAGCCGCCTCTCAAACTCGAACTGGAGGAGGACATCGTTCACCGGGAGAAATCTCACCGTGACCGTGATCGTGACCGGGAGAAGAGAAGCTCTGGAAGAAGAGAAGAAGAGCCGATTCCCCGTGCCCCCCCGCAGCAGCAGCAGCAGCAGCAGCAGCAGCAGCAGCAGCAGCAGCAGTCGGACGATGATGATGAAGAGGAGGCGGCGATGGAGGAAGACTTCCCCGACGCTGAAGACTCACAGGAGGCCGAAGAACCGCCGCAGATTAAACCCGTCATGAGGCCCATCACCACGGCTCCCTCTGTGTCCTCTGGCAGCGGGGACGCCACCCCCAACTCGCCCGGCAACGAGTCCCCCTGCGGCATCATCATCCCGGGGGAAAACTCTCCGGAGGTGCAGCCCCCCGAGGAGCTGCGGCCCAAGATAGGCCTCAGTCTCAAACTGGGTGAGTACAGAGGTAATATATAGGGATATAAGGGGAGGGTATCTATCGGTGTATGACCATGTGATTCAAAATGGTTCTGGATTCAGTACATAGGGGGGGTCATTTCAGGGTGCTAATAAAGACTGTGTGGCAAATGATGAATTATATCTGAGAATGTGTAGAAACTAGGGCTGCACGATTTGGGACACATGTTGATGTAGAAGAGACATGAAGAAGAGGGGACACATGTTGATGTAGAAGAGACATGAAGAAGAGGGCACACATGTTGATGTAGAAGAGACATGAAGAAGAGGGGACACATGTTGATGTAGAAGAGACATGAAGAAGAGGGGACACATGTTGATGTAGAAGAGACATGAAGAAGAGGGGACACATGTTGATGTAGAAGAGACATGAAGAAGAGGGGACACATGTTGATGTAGAAGAGACATGAAGAAGAGGGGACACATGTTGATGTAGAGGAGACATGAAGAAGAGGGGACACATGTTGATGTAGAAGAGAATGAGAAGAGGGGACACATGTGATAGAAGAATGAAGAAGAGGGACACATGTTGATGTAGAAGAGACATGAAGAAGAGGGGACACATGTTGATGTAGAAGAGACATGAAGAAGAGGGGACACATGTTGATGTAGAAGAGACATGAAGAAGAGGGGACACATGTTGATGTAGAAGAGACATGAAGAAGAGGGGACACATGTTGATGTAGAAGAGACATGAAGAAGAGGGGACACATGTTGATGTAGAAGAGACATGAAGAAGAGGGGGACACATGTTGATGTAGAAGAGACATGAAGAAGAGGGGGACACATGTTGATGTAGAAGAGACATGAAGAAGAGGGGACACATGTTGATGTAGAAGAGACATGAAGAAGTGGGGACACATGTTGATGTAGAAGAGACATGAAGAAGAGGGGACACATGTTGATGTAGAAGAGACATGAAGAAGAGGGGACACATGTTGATGTAGAAGAGACATGAAGAAGTGGGGACACATGTTGATGTAGAAGAGACATGAAAAAGAGGGGACACATGTTGATGTAGAAGAGACATGAAGAAGAGGGGACACATGTTGATGTAGAAGAGACATGAAGAAGAGGGGACACATGTTGATGTAGAAGAGACATGAAGAAGTGGGGACACATGTTGATGTAGAAGAGACATGAAGAAGTGGGGACACATGTTGATGTAGAAGAGACATGAAGAAGAGGGGACACATGTTGATGTAGAAGAGACATGAAGAAGAGGGGACACATGTTGATGTAGAAGAGACATGAAGAAGAGGGGACACATGTTGATGTAGAAGAGACATGAGAAGAGGGGACACATGTTGATGTAGAAGAGACATGAAGAAGAGGGGACACATGTTGATGTAGAGGAGACATGAAGAAGAGGGGACACATGTTGATGTAGAAGAGACATGGAGAAGAGGGGACACATGTTGATGTAGAAGAGACATGGAGAAGAGGGGACACATGTTGATGTAGAAAAGACATGAAGAAGAGGGGACACATGTTGATGTAGAAGAGACATGAAGAAGAGGGGACACATGTTGATGTAGAAGAGACATGAAAAAGTGGATTTTGTATAATAGGTGACCTTTAATACTGTAGTGTTTCTCCTCCAGGCGCCTCCAACAGCCCCAGCCAGCTGAACGTAGGCAAGCGGAAGAAGCTGGCGACGGTGGAAAGTGTTTTCAACAAGTTTGACGAGGAGGAGGCGGACGAGCAGCCGCGCAAAAGGAAACTGGTTCCTCTGGATTACGGAGACGACGACAAGAGCCTCGGGCTGGACGGGGCCGAGATGCCGGGGCCCAAAGGCGGCGTCAACACGGAGGAGAAACGGAAACACATCAAGAGCCTCATCGAGAAAATCCCCACCGCCAGACCGGAGCTGTTCTCCTACCCGCTGGACTGGGCCATGGTCGACTCGGTAAACACTTTCTTAGATTAAGACGTTTAGGGTAGAGATGCAGCGTCAAGTAGATTAGATTCCTTTATTGTCACTACACAGAGTACAGCGAAATTCCAAGCATCACACATAACAGACAGTGTAAGTATCATTTTGACAATACAAGCTAAAAACTTTTAATGTATAATATGTAAAGTGACTATAAATTGGACCTATGATACATTGAACGATACGCTTACAACACAGTACCATACGAATACAAGAACAATACGGTCAAGGCAGTAAACAAGTCAATAAGTAACATGTATTTACAAGTCTTAAAGATTTCCACTAATGCAGAATTAGGAACCAAGTCGTGTTACACATACAAGGAATTTGCTTTGATGTTTATGGTGCATACATAAACTCGGTGGTGGTTCAAGGTTCAAGGCTTTTATTGTCATGTGTACAAAGCTACAGTGTAGATGTGTCAATGAAAATCTGAGGTTACAGGCTCCTCCAACAGTGCAACACATAAATATAATAAAATATAATATAATAGAAATAGAAATAGTGCAGAATAGTCTATATACAAGTAATTGGAATATTGATATATATGAGTTGCAAACAGATGGATGTTATGGATGTGCTTTCAAAAGTTCAGGTGTTTCACGGTCTTGGTGGTGGCCAAGTATGTGGGTTCGACTTCCGAGGCTTCATACATTTCAGGCAATGTCATCCCCTTTCACCTCTGTCTCTCTTATGATGGCACTGATGTATAAGTAAATACTAAAATATGTGCAGTCATAAAAAGCATGATGTTACTTACACAATATCACACACAAGAACATAAAGACTTGATGTAAATTACATGATATGTCTTCCTATAAAGATCTTTTCCACCAGTTTGTGAAAAAGGTTAAAGTGAGATATTGTCTAATTTATATTCAACTGGATTCTATTTTTATTTTGCGTTTTTATTTTGAAATGTATGCGACTGAGAGAAAGTCCTTAAATTGTGTGCACTTTGGGGAAAAAGTTACTTATTTAATAGTCAATTATAATACCAACATACCATTATATTTGAATTGCCGTGAAGGAAAGGGAATCAGCATTTCAGATTTAAGTGCAATTTGTCCAATAAAACTGCAATCGATGCGATGCTAATTTAATTTTTTACAGTGTTGTAAATTATATGATCAGTATTTTAAAATGTGTTTTTCTTCCTGCAGTCTCTGATGGATCGCCGCATTAAACCGTGGATCAATAAAAAGATTATTGAATACATCGGAGAGGAGGAGGCGACGCTGGTGGAGTTTGTCTGCTCAAAGGTTTGTGATTATTTACCTTAATTGAAAGTATTTGTCCACATTGAAGATATGTCAGGTATTGAATATTTATCTAAGAATGTTTTTGATATATAATTTGTACTTGTGTGTGTCTTGAAATGTGTTTCTCTGCTGCTTCCCCCCCCCCCAGGTGATGGCACACAGCACCCCTCAGGGAATTCTTGATGATGTTGCAATGGTAAGATAAACTACAAAGACACATTGACATTTTAATTAATCTTTTATGAAGTTTGGTTTCATTTCAATGCCTTTCCTTATTTGGGGTCTATAGGTAATTTATATTGGGGTTGTCCTCATTTAACCCTTAGATGCACTTAGAGTGACTGGACCCTACACTCTTCCATAAGTGGGTCAAAAAGGACCCGTATTAGAATAATATGTGTTTTTATCCCATTTTTTGTCATTTTGGTTAAGAAAAATCACTTGTATAATATTTAGTATTATATTTTGGTTCACACAAGAAATATTTTATATTAAATGTTTCACTATTTATAATTTTAGACATTTTCTTTTACATTTTGAAAAAAAACGTTTTGAACATATTGATGCCAAGATCTCCGCTATTCTGAGACCCTCACAGTATTCCAGTCCCTTTTCAAAACTCATCTCTTCTCCTCTTGTCTACTCATAGCCCACCCCCCATCAATCCATGCCGGTTGATCAAGTTTGATAGTCCTATACCCCCCACCCTAACCTTCCCTTATATTGTAAAGCGATTTTGAGTCCTTGAAAAGCCCTATACAAATATAATGTATTATTATTATTATTATTATTATTATACTGACAGGTATCAGATCTTGTAAAATAATCTTCCTGAGAGTTGTCACGTGTGATGTAGTCTGTGTGGTCTACAGTGAATGTATTCCTGACAGCAACAGGTGATAAGAATCAAAGGTTCCCATAGGATTACATAGAAAATGCATGCGGGTCATTTTTGACCCACTTATGGAAGCTTGGGGTAGAAATACAAAAACTACAATTTCTTAAAATGTAAATAAAAAATGTGAATGGCATGATATCCAAAACATGTTTTTTGAGGAATAGCTGGAATATGAAATGATAAAAAAATGTAATTACAAAGATACTTCAAGAAAACCACCTCACCGGGTCAAAAAAGACCCACTTGTGCATCTAAGGGTTAAAGCAGCCTAACCTGCTACATTGGTACACAGTTACTCCTAAATTATCAATTTAACTTTCATGTCAGATTAATGTCAAATATGTATTGAGCTGTTGGATGTAAAGTGTGTTTCCCCAACCTGTCTGGTGTGTTTTCAGGTTCTGGATGAAGAGGCAGAAGTGTTCATAGTGAAAATGTGGAGGCTGTTGATTTACGAAACAGAGGCGAAGAAGATCGGACTCGCGAAATAAAGACCGCTCGTCTCTCCGTCCGACTTCCTTTTTAAATCCCAGATCTGCTGCCCACAGACTGTAAACACATCACACCCTCCATCCCATCAGCAAGGAGCAGCCTTCTGTGTGTGTGTGTGTGTGTAAGAGTGTGTGTGTGTGTAAGAGTGTGTGTCTTGGAAGGGAGAGTGTCAGCTGTGGACAGAAAGGGATTGCTCAAACATACTGCATGATGAAACTTTGGTTGTGTTTTGTTCCTTTGTTGATGCTGTTTGAGGCTGGAGACAGTTGCTACCCCCCCTCCCCCCCACACACCCCCACACACACACACACACACTTGGTTCTGCAACACGTTGGACTCTGCTTTGATTTACTGTCGTCCTGTTGAGGCTCCGTTGTGTGAACTGATAATAAATATGCTTTTTTTTAAGAAAGTGTCCTTTTCTTTTTGCTTTGCATGACAAACGGTACATTTTTACTCGCCTTTTTAGTTTTCTCTAAAAAAGTCAGTCTAATTGTTTACTGCCTATTACAATATAACAAAAGTCCCTCTCCACTATCCAACTTGTATAGATAGCAATGATAAGCGATCCGTCATTTAGGGCTGGAACTATTGTTATTTTCATCATTTCATTTTGGCAATTATTTTCTTGAATGATTTTGTTGAGAAAATTGTGAAAAATGTCCAAGTTTCTGTAAATCCTAAGTTTTTAAAAGCCTTTGTTTCAGAAATAAGAATATTATTATTATTATTATTATTATTAATAATTTTTCCCCTTTATTCAAGAATATATATATATGAATATTAAACATTTTATACACATAAAACATTTGGTTGCTGATTGGCTAATGGTTACTAAGCCAAAACATCGTTATGACATAAAGTGGCCAAAATCTGATCAGCTCATTTTCAGACAGGTTTTTATATAAATGGATCAGGACAAAAAGAGAGAGAATCTTTGCTTTTTAATGACTATTTAAATTCCATTTTCTTAATGGCTTTCATTTTTGTAAAGCACTTTGAATTGCCTTGTGTTGAAAGGTGCTATATAAATAAACTTGCCTTGCCTTACACATAAAATATATAAAGAAAATAAGCAAGAAATATAAAGAAAATAGGGATAAAACAAAAGGTAACACTTCAAGTAAAGTAGGATTAGGGCCACATGAGAACATGTTTTTTGGAATGTGACCAAAAGTTAAAAATAATGTTAATTCTGATTTATTTTTTCAGGAAAAAACAGAAAAATAATTGGAAATAAATCTGGATTTTTGTTTTTCAGAAAGTCAACATTTATTTTACTTTTGGTCGCATCCCAAAAACATTTTCCTCAGGTGGCTCTACTCCTCTCCCGTATGATTGCCTTTATTATATTTTAATATTTTAAAACATTTATTCTTGTGGATGTGATATTTTCCCAAAAATAAAAATATTTGTATCAAAAAAATATATATATTTGTATCAAATCCATCACTTTTACTATTATAATAATATTTGAAAATGTGTAATTGGGTGCATTGAAAGGTGCCTCTAAATTAAATGTGTTATTCATATTATCATTATCATGATTATCATGATTATCACCCCTCCTGTGCCTTCCTCCTGTGAGGCTGAAACGTGGCAGGTTTTCTCTCACAGGTTGAGCAGATGCGTTGTGACCCGGATGTTCTTCCAGCAGCTAACAACAGGATGTTCTGTTAGCCTGTCTGAGCTCCAGCTGCTGAACAAGTCAGGAAGTTGCAATATTATCACCTTATTGTTACTGACAGCTAAATCTGGAGGACACTATGCGGAGTGTCGGATGTTTGCAAGTGAACGAGAACGTGTCGGGGATTCATAGTTTGTGAATTGTTGATACGAAAGCTAGTTAGCTTAGCACAGTTAGCTTAGCTTAGTGTAACGTCTCTGTTAAGATAAACGTGGATGTTTTAGCAGCTATCTGAATTTAGTCCAGATTACAGAGACGTTTATTAAATTAGCCACTATTGAGAAGCAACAGTTGCATCTCGTGGCATGTGATTTAACTGTAAGGATTATTAGTGTTAAAGAGGTGACGGTTGGTTGTTGTTGGTTAGCCTAGCATTAGCATAAAGTGCAGTAATAATGGACGACTTCAGCTCCATCAGCCTGCTGTCTCTCGCCATGTTGGTGGGATGTTATGTGGCAGGAACCATTCCTCTGGCTGTCAACTTCTCAGAGGTAAGTGTACATACAAAGCTTTACAAAAAGTGGTTCTTAAAAGCTTGTAGTTGGGCTAACTTTAACCACATTTGCACATTCACAGAGAGCAGAGGTGGAAAGTAACTAAGTAGATTTACTCAAGTACAATTTTGAGGTACTTTACTTCCCATGTAATGCTACTTTGTACTTCTACTCCACTACATTTAGAAGGGAAATCATTTCATTTTACTCCACTACATATGTTAGGGTTTTAATTGTAGTATTTTGACAATCATGTATTGTTAATTTACTTGAGTAAAAGATAACTTATTCCACCACTGACAGAGAGGTACAAGTTAATCTCTGTCAGTTTTGTGTTTGTCTTCGCCTGTCTTTTCATCAGAGACACTGATTGCATCATGAATAACAAATAACAGGACGGTACAAAGGTCTAGAGATAGATACAACTGCTTTGAAATGATCACCGCTTTTGGGGGATGAATGTCATGTTAAGTTTGACTGTAAAACACAATCATTGTTGAGCATATAAAGAAGTTTATGCTGAATTACATTGAAAAACTATTTGTATTTATTTTTTAACTGGAAAGGACTAATTTGTGTCTTTTTCAGGTATTAAAACTAAAAGGTACAGATAGGAAACATAAAATAGAGCAGGGGTGTCAAACTCAAATACACAGTGGGCCAACATTTAAAAAACGGTACTAGTCGAGGGCCGGACTGGTTCAATGTTTATTGCAGAACTTATTGCACATATTAAACCTGGAACTAACAAAGCTTAAATGATTGCCTATAAAAACAACATTAAACATTAAATAATCAGTTGCATTCATTTCTTATGGCTCTATCTGCAGCTTTTCCAGAGTCATTTCTTATGATTACATTTTTCCACAGGCCAACAACAGCTTAAAAAAAACAATTCCCCTCAAAGAAAAAACCAAACATGTCCTGTTGTCGCAAGAAACAAAGTGCAGAAGGAAACATCCATGTAAACTCAGTGTGCTGCTCTGTGATGCTAGTTCAAGCCAGATACTTGGCATCTCATCTTGGGTGCAAGTTCATCAATGTTTGGGGTCAGGCTCTGAGCTGAGGAGACCCTCAGGATTGAGTGAAGGTGTGCGTGCAATATACCGGCGGGCCAGATCTAATAGTAATTAGAAATTATCCTGCAGGCCGAAATTAAATCTACCAAGGGCCTGATTTGGCCCCGGGGCCTTGAGTTTGACACGTGACATAAAAGAATCAAAATCAAGCTTTACTCGCATTTACATTATTGTTTTCTCACGTGCATGTGGTTTATGGTATTTGAGGCACCTAGGTTTGTGCAAAAAGACAGGCATTTCTGCAAAATAAATGAATGCTTTGGGACGGGTTCAGATTTTGTTCCTTTTCTCTACATTTGAACTGATAAAAAAAGCACATAGTTTACAATGTGTTCTCGATGCAATAGTTATGAGTCATTTTCCGCCCTAAAGACCTTTTCTGGTGGTTTGAATCATGAGCTCTGTTAGTTATCAGATGATCTGGTGTGTATAAACACAGACATATTTGTGCTGATGTTTTGTGTGTGTGTGTGCGCGCAGGAGAAGCTGAAGCTGGTCACGGTGCTGGGCGCCGGGCTGCTGTGTGGCACCGCGCTCGCTGTCATCATTCCTGAGGGCGTCCACGCGCTTTATGAAGAAATACTTGAAGGTAGAGTTAACAAAAACTCCGGATCCTGACTGTATTTCCTCACAGATTACCCATAAATGTTTCCCCATGTTGCATTTGATTATGTTAAGTCAACTTTATTGTCAATCTTCCAGTTTGTGTGTACAGACAGAGAGATCGAAATACCGTTTCCCACACTCCCGAATATAAAAATAAATGTATATAAAAATATGTGTGCAAATATGTATATATATACACAGAATCAAAGACACATTTGTACATGTGCACACATTAAGACCTACATAAAACACAACATTCAATATATACAAAATAACAGTCACTTCAATATTTGAGAATGTACATTATTGCCTGATTGTCCATAGCAGCGTAAAAAGTGTTTAAACCTAAAGTCCAATGAAAGACAGACTTGTTTAGTCAGTTTTATTTAAAAGAATGCCAGAAAACTTTGAATAATGCATGCAAAAAACATCAAGACCTTTTTCTGAGTCTGCAAACTAAATACTGAACATATAGACATACTGTTTATATGAATCCTTTGCAAACTGATCAAAGGTCAGAAAGCTGTAAAGTTAAACATGATGACGTCTTTTTCTCTTACGTAGCAGTCCCAGTTCAAACACAGATATTTGTTCAGAAGCTACGTGGGTTTGTGACGCTCATCTGTTTTTTTACACTCGAGTTCAAAGTCCAAACCTCTGAGGCATTTAGGCGTTCAAATTCTATCTTAGTCAATTAAAACACTAAGTAAGTGCTTCTATTGGCTAGCGCTCAAACACATTGTGCGGGACATCTCTAAGAGGTTGACCAATCACAACAGAGCCGGCCAGCTAACCAATCAGAGCAGACTGGGCTCTGGTTTCAGACAGAGGGTGAAAAGAGGTGCTGCAGCACAGGCAGTATGAGAAAAATAAAGAGCTTTATGAACATTAAAGCATGGAGACATGTCCCAGTAGAGACACTAGATACTGATATACACCTGAACATCAGCAGGAGAGGACTCTTCAAAGTAGAGACACTACATACTGATATACACCTGAACATCAGCAGGAGAGGACTCTTTAAAGTAGAGACACTACATACTGATATACACCTGAACATCAGCAAGAGAGGACTCTTTAAAGTAGAGACACTACATACTGATATACACCTGAACATCAGCAGGAGAGGACTCTTTAAAGTAGAGACACTACATACTGATATACACCTGAACATCATCAGGAGAGGACTCTTTAAAGTAGAGACACTACATACTGATATACACCTGAACATCAGCAGGAGAGGACTCTTCAAAGTAGAGACACTACATACTGATATACACCTGAACATCAGCAGGAGAGGACTCTTTAAAGTAGAGACACTACACACTGATATACACCTGAACATCAGCAGGAGAGGACTCTTTAAAGTAGAGACACTACATACTGATATACACCTGAACATCATCAGGAGAGGACTCTTTAAAGTAGAGACACTACATACTGATATACACCTGAACATCAGCAGGAGAGGACTCTTCAAAGTAGAGACACTACATACTGATATACACCTGATCATCAGCAGGAGAGGACTCTTTAAAGTAGAGACACTAGATAATTACTGTAGATATTTTAATAATCCCAATTTGGGAATTACAAATACTTAAAAAGTGGAATAGAGTTAACAATAAAAAATAGTATAGTAACATATTTAGCCATTTAGTTTTCGTTAACAGAAATATCACTATAGCATTCTCTGTAACCAGGTATGTTTAAGGGTTTTTCTTTAACGGTCCATGTGTCTCTTTTTCTTCCCGCAGGAGCTCACCACAGCCACGGCCAGGCGGGGGTGGTGGAGGTGTCGGAGGCGAAGGGGGAAGTGGACGTGAGTGCGGGGGGGAAGCACGAGCACAGCCACGAGCAGCTGCACGCCTGCATCGGAGTCTCTCTGGTGCTCGGCTTCGTCTTCATGCTGCTGGTCGATCAGATCGGCAGCGCGCACGTTCACAGCACCGAAGGTCAGTGAACACAACTGTAAAACACACACTCGTACATGTGGGGGACATGCGTTCAGGTTGCAATGGGGTATTTGTTAAATATCTATTGACCCGAATATAAGACTTTTTCTTTTTTTCCTAGAAAAAAATCTGAAAAAGAGGGGTCGTCTTATATTCGTGGTATAGACTTTTCGATGTAATTACACAGTCACAACAACAGATCGTGTTCCCCCAAGCCAGACACCGTCTTAAAGTAACAGTACACAGCAACAGGAGAGATGGAGAGAAACAGCGACCAACTCCAACAAAGTGGATCAAAGATAATGGTAATCAACGAAGCAGAGCCATCAAATAACTGTCTAGCAGCAAAGAAATATGGTGTTACTGAGTGTAAGGTGTTACGTGGAGGCGTGTGGTGCAGTGGGTTGTGCGTTGGTGTTCGGATCAGGGGGTCACAGGTTCAAACCCCACTGCAGTCAGCATGTCGTTGTGTCCCTGAGACACTTCACCCCAAATTGCTCCTGTGGGGATTGCCCACAGTATTGAGTATGTAAGTCGCTTTGGATAAAAGCGTCTAACAAGTGACATGTAATGTAATGTAATGTAACGTTAGAAGATGGCAAGCCCAAAAAGACTGCCTTAAAAATGTAAACAGTCAGAGAAAAGCATTCCACGGTCTGCAAAGGAGTAAGATGGAGAAAAAAAATGTGGTCTTCAAAAAGGTATTTTTCCAAAAACGAGTCTTGAAAAAGAGGGGTCGTCTTATACTCGGGTCAATACGGTAATCATAAGTCATGTGGATATAACGGTTAATATTGGAACAGCTAAGTCGAGTACATTTGGGAAATGACATCACTTTGATGCCTGGAAAACACTTATTATAATATGATATCTAAAATCAGGGTGCGTACGGGTGCTGGAAATCCTTGAAAATGCTTGAAATTGTACGAGGTGTTTTCAAGGTTTGAAAAGTGCTTGAATTTTGGGAATGGTGCTTGAATTTGGGATAAAGTGCTTGAAATTGTAAATGCTTTACTTCACTTTTTAGATTAAAAGAAAATAAAGAAGTCGGAGCGCGCTTAATTGCTTCGCTTTTACATAAAACAGCTCCGCCCTTCCCGCGCAATGCGCGTGACCGGCAAGTGTTTTTGTTACGTGTGTGACCTGGGCATTCTGATGAGAGTGATAGATGACAGTATGCCAGGAGGTTGCCGTTTCAACGAGCGTTGGCTAGCAGAAGACAAATACAAGCCATGGCTAAGACGAGGGTCAAGCGAAGCCCAAGAGTAGCCTCCTGCAAAGTGTGCAACAATAACGATGCGAGAGTCTGCGCTGACGAGCCACACACCACACGAAAGGTACAAAGGTACGCTGTAGTAGAACATTTTAGATTAGGCGATCGTTGCATGTAAAATACATGACACTTTTCTCTGTGCGCGGCAAAACAAGCTCGCCAAAATGGCTTCACTAGTCTGGCAGTATTTTAAGTGTCCGAAAATGACAATAAAATAGCGGTATGCAACGTGTGTGTGAAGCAGAAATCCTGCAGCTCCACCCGCTGTGACGGACCGGTGAGCGAAGCAGAACACACATTAAGAGTTAGACCTAACACACTTAGCTATTTTATCTACCTCTGGAACAAGCTAAACTAGTTATAAATATATTTATTCTTCACTGTCGGGTCGCTCATTACTGGATCAGTGAGCTGCAGGAGACGATACTGACGGGCTGTCAGGAGAGAGGGGGAGAGAGGAAAAGAGAGCGATATCGGTATCGGCCGATACTGATTCCGGCGATCGGCTCCAAAATTGGCGATCGGAGCATCCCTAATAATTGTATAGGATATGTTTTATAATGATTGATCATGAAAGTGTTCTCAAAGCTGGTAAAGGTGCAGCTAGTTTGAATGACTTTGTATACTGCAGGGTAGCTTGTGAATTTACTCCAGGTGGAACTAAAGTCTGATTTAACACTTGATTATATTTCACATCATTCATCCAGATCTGTAAAGTAACTAAAGGTATTAAATACATGTAGTGGAGTAAAAGTACACCATTTACCTCTGACTTGTGTTTACTGCCAACCTAAAAGTACCTCAAAAATAGTAATCAATAATATATTGAAAAGTTATTTGGCTGATTGTTTTATATTGACTCAGCCAGGTTATATGGGATGCCCAGTCTACGTACAGATGGGTCTCATTTTGAAATATTAAACTTAGTTTTCTTTTCTAACATTTTTAATTTTTCATCCTCATGTAGAATGCTATTATGAAACACACATTTGGTCGTTTATAGCATAAAGAACATCTGATTTAATGTGAGGTAGGGAAATAATCATTTGAGTATAAGTATGTGTATATAAATATGTAATTTACAACAGCTGTAAGATGCTTGAAAATGCACCTTGAAAATGCTTGAAAAGTGCTTGAATTTGACTTTGGAAAAGGTGTAAGAACCCTGTAAAATGTAAGACAAATTCTAGTCTCATCATGATATTGATATAATTTCAGTATATACTGCCCAGTCACAGTGACAGCAGGGTTATCCTGAGCGATATCAAGTGCTAATCTTCTCCAGAGGAAAGTGTTTTGGTCTAAACATTTCTCCACACTCGACGCTTTTTTCAGAACAATATGAGATCTCAATTGTTTTAGCAGCTAATGCTTTAGATGATAGGGAGGCTGTGGCTCAGTGGGAAGTGTGCTACACTTCAAATCAGGGGGGTAGCAAGTTCGAGTCCCACTGCAGTCAGCATGTCGTTGTGTCCCTGAGACACTTCACCCCAAGATGCTCCTGTGGGGATTGTCCACAGTATTGAGTATGTAAGTCGCTTTGGATAAAAGCGTCTAACAAGTGACATGTAATGCTTCTCTGTCCTTATTATCACTTGGTACTACTTTTAATATTTGTATTTCTTAAACTTATAAAGACTGTCATAGCTCATTTCTTCTGACTTTTTTTTTTTTTTCAGCTTTAGATCCAGAGGCAGCGAGAGCCTCCTCAAAGATCACCACCACCCTGGGGCTGGTGGTCCACGCTGCAGGTACTACGGTTATTTGGTTTTTCTTTGAATTAAAAGAACATCACATGCTCAGGTTAAATATGTTCTTCAAAAGCAAATATTGCATGTATCAGATTGAGTATGGGAACATTTATAAATGTGGGTTTGAACATGAATTGTCCAAAATGATGATACTAGTTAATATTTATTGTTAACAGCATCTTCATTAGTCTTAATCACAAACTGCTGCTGTAATAGAGAAGGGTCATTTAGCAGGAGTTACTTTGCCAAATGTACAATATACTGTAGTTGAAATCAGACATCCTGTGTGTCTCAACGTGTAAATATTAACTTTTCTATTATTAATAATAAGTGAATCCCATATTAAGGAGTGCTTGAGATTTACTGTAATATGGAAAAACTAAACGCAAAGGTGATCAGTGTTTGAGCAGTAACCGTTTACTTTTTCAAAATGTTGCAACTTACTTAAAGGTCCCCTATTATACTGTTTTTCATCAATATATCACAGGTCTCAGGTGTATACAGAACATGTCTCTGATTGGCTGAAACACCAAACAGATTATTGCAGCATCCCATAATCCCCTCTGTTTCAGCCCTGTTTCAAAAGTGCTGATTCTCTGTGCTACTTTAGAGCACATGTGTCAAACTCAAGGCCCGGGGGCCAAATCAGGCCCTTGGTGGATTTAATTTCGGCCCGCAGGATAATTTTTAATTACTATTAGATCTGGCCCGCCCGTATATTGCACGCACACCTTCACTCAATCCTGAGGATCTCCTCAGCTCAGAGCCTGAGCCCAAACATTGATGAACTTGCACCCAAGATGAGATGCCAAGTATCTGGCTTGAACTAGCATCACAGAGCAGCACACTGAGTTTACATGTTTCCTTCTGCACTTTTTTTCTTGAGACAACAGGGCATGTTTGGTTTTTTCTTTGAGGGAAATAGTTTTTTTGAAGCTGTTGTTGGTCTGTGGAAAAATGTAATCATAAGAAATGACTCTGGAAAAGCTGCAGATAGAGCCATAAGAAATGAATGCAACTGATTATTTAAAGGGGACCTATCATGCAAAATGCACTTTTGTACGTCTTTTCTACATGAATATGTGTCCCCGGTGTTCCAGGGAACTCACCAAGTGTCAGAAAACACAACCCTCTCTATTTTCCTCCATACCCAAATCTCTAAAAAAGGGGCTGCAACGGATCTGATAAAAACTGATCCAGATTTGAACACTGTCCTGACGTCAGGACGGTGGCGATACGGCTATTGGGCCAACTCCACCAATCAGGAGGAGACAGCCACGGCCATATGGTCCTACACTATATTATTCAAATATAGCATGAGAGGTCCACTTTAATGTTTAATGTTGTTTTTATAGGCAATAATTTAAGCTTTGTTAGTTCCAGGTTTAATGTGCAATAAGTTCATTTCAATAAGTTTTGCAATAAACATTGAAACAGTCCGGCCCTCGACTAGCACCGATTTTGTTATTTTGGCCCACTTTGTATTTGAGTTTGACACCCCTGGTTTAGATGAAAATAAGGAGCCACTCCCCACGCCCCTCTGAGAGAGATTTGGTTGGTGATTGGCTAATGGTTACACAAGCCAAAACATCGTTATGACATCATAAAGTGACCAAAATCTGATCAGCTCATTTTCAGACAGGTTTTTATAGAAATGGATCAGGACAAAAAGAGAGAGAATCTTTGTTCCTGAAACTTTCAGAGTCTCTTTACACAGAGGGGACACATGTTGATGTAGAAGAGACATGAAAAAGAGGGGACACATGTTGATGTAGAAGAGACATGAAAAAGAGGGGACACATGTTGATGTAGAAGAGACATGAAAAAGAGGGGACACATGTTGATGTAGAAGAGACATGAAGAAGAGGGGACACATGTTGATGTAGAAGAGACATGAAAAAGAGGGGACACATGTTGATGTAGAAGAGACATGAAAAAGAGGGGACACATGTTGATGTAGAAGAGACATGAAGAAGAGGGGACACATGTTGATGTAGAAGAGACATGAAAAAGAGGGGACACATGTTGATGTAGAAGAGACATGAAGAAGAGGGGACACATGTTGATGTAGAAGAGACATGAAGAAGAGGGGACACATGTTGATGTAGAAGAGACATGAAGAAGAGGGGACACATGTTGATGTAGAAGAGACATGAAGAAGAGGGGACACATGTTGATGTAGAAGAGACATGAAGAAGAGGGGACACATGTTGATGTAGAAGAGACATGAAGAAGAGGGGACACATGTTGATGTAGAAGAGACATGAAGAAGTGGATTTTGCCTAATAGGTGACCTTTAATATTGTTACGCTCATAACCCAATCTTAATTCCCTCCATGTGTCTCCAGCTGACGGAGTGGCTCTCGGAGCGGCTGCCTCCACGTCTCAGACCAGCGTCCAGCTCATCGTGTTCGTAGCCATCATGCTGCACAAGGTGACTCTCACTTTCTACAGGAAATCAGAATACCTTCCTTCGTCCCACAGAGGGGACATGTCCATTTGTTACAGCAGAAAAGAGCCGAAGACAGCTTAATGTTAACTAAGTAATCAACATTGCGTAACTTTATTGTCATGTAATTAAGGCTTATGTTGTAGTAGATTAAGTGATTGGCAGTAAATGATTGCCAAGTATTTAGATTATTATTGATTATATTTTGTAATTTTAATCCATTCATTTGCTTCAGCGTCACATTTGTGGGAATAAGCTGCTTCCCTTTGTCTTATTTTATTGTTAATGTAATATCTTTTAGGTTTTAGGCAGTTTGTCTCCCAACATAAGCCATGTTTGAATGTTGTAGAAAAAGTTATCAGTACAGTAAACTTATTTTTACTCATACTTGACAAATCAAGAGTATGATCTGCAGACTAATCGTTATGTGCAGCTCTTAAAGAGAAGATGGCTGCCGTCACCGTGTCATTGGCTTCTCTCCAACTCTGCCTTTTTTTCATTTTATTTCAGTGTTTGTTTACTTTTCGTCGTGTGCTTTTAACTTTGTCCGCAACATTTGTATTTACTTGCACATCTCTGTTCTATGTCCTATATATATGTTGCACTGCTGGAGGAGCCTCTGACTGAAGTTTTGTATTGCCATATCTACACTGTAGCTAATGTGCACATGACAATAAAGCCTTGAAACTTGAAACTTAGCAGCAGTACATATTACATGTTAAATCTCCTGCTCTGTACCTTCAGGCTCCGGCGGCGTTCGGCCTCGTCTCGTTCCTGATGCATGCCGGTCTGGAGAGGAACCGGATCCGGAGACATCTGCTGGTTTTCTCCCTCGCAGCGCCCGTCCTCGCCATGCTCACCTTCCTGGGCCTCAGCCAGGTAAATACTGAAATAAAACTTAAAGGTCACCTATTATGCAAAATCCTCTTCTTCATGTCTCTTCTACATCAACATGTGTCCCCTCTTCTTCATGTCTCTTCTACATCAACATGTGTCCCCTCTTCTTCATGTCTCTTCTACATCAACATGTGTCCCCTCTTCTTCATGTCTCTTCTACATCAACATGTGTCCCCTCTTCTTCATGTCTCTTCTACATCAACATGTGTCCCCTCTTCTTCATGTCTCTTCTACATCAACATGTGTCCCTCTTCTTCATGTCTCTTCTACATCAACATGTGTCCCCTCTTCTTCATGTCTCTTCTACATCAACATGTGTCCCCTCTTCTTCATGTCTCTTCTACATCAACATGTGTCCCCTCTTCTTCATGTCTCTTCTACATCAACATGTGTCCCCTCTTCTTCATGTCTCTTCTACATCAACATGTGTCCCCTCTTCTTCATGTCTCTTCTACATCAACATGTGTCCCCTCTGTGGAAAGAGATTCTGAAAGTTTCAGGAACAAAGATTCTCTCTTTTTGTCCTGATCCATTTATATAAAAACCTGTCTGAAAATGAGCTGATCAGATTTTGGCCACTTTATGATGTCATAACGATGTTTTGGCTTGTGTAACCATTAGCCAATCAGCAACCAAGGTAACCCCCCCCCCCCCCACCTTATCACCTGAATCTCCTCCTAGAGCACCATTGTGTTCTTTGTAACCAAATATCTCTCAGAGGGGTGTGGGGAGGGGCTCCTTATTTTCATCTAAAGTAACAGACAGAGAATCAGCACTTTGGAAACAGGGCTGAAACAGAGGGGATTATGGGTAATGCTGCAATGATCTGATTGGTGTTTCAGCCAATCAGAGACAGGCTCTCTATATATCTGAGACCTGGAATATATTGATGAAAAACAGTATAATAGGGGACCTTTAAAATGAACTTGTGGTTTGAAGGCCAAAGACTCATGAGGGAAGTCTTAAAACAGGTTTAAATATCCTTATTCTGGGAATTGAAAAGAAAAGTGGTTTAAAGGTCAAAGAGGGGTTCGGGTGACAGTGAAACAGGAACATGTGTTGTCTGGGGATTCAAAAGGATGAAAGGAATATAGAAAAGTGTCAAAAGAACGTGTCACAGGAAGACTAGGGGTAGAGGAAAGTGAGACTTTGGTGAGGGGTGTTGTCAAATATCTGGAACAAACTCCCAGAAACCTGCCGGTCCGCTGCAACTCTGACTACTTTTAAATCCTGGCTGAAGACTTTTCTTTTTGCCGCTGCTTTTAATTGAACTATTCACATCTCACATTGCTCTGTAACTTTCATTCATGTACCTGTGCTATTCACTTTGCTTTTTTAATGTTTCTAATGTGTTGTATGCTCTTCATGTCTTTCATTTTTGTAAAGCACTTTGAATTGCCTTGTGTTGAAAAGTGCTGTATAAATAAACTAGCCTTGTAAATTACTCTCATAGTAAAAATACAAGTAAAATGTTTGTCTTGAAGGATTCATGTTTCTCTGATGTTTAGATATGACACGTTTCATCAAAAGGAAACGTCTCCCCTCACGCTCTCTTGTCTTCCCCCCCCCCCCCTCTCAGAGCAGTAAGGAGGCGCTGTCCGACTTCAACGCCACCGGAGTGGCCATGTTGTTTTCCGCCGGCACCTTCCTCTACGTGGCCACCGTGCACGTGCTCCCCGAGGTGGGGGGGGGCGGGGGCCACAGCCACTCTCCTGCGGGGGGGAACGGAGGAAAGGGACTGAGCAAAGTGGAGGTGGGAGCGCTGGTTCTGGGCTGCCTCATCCCTCTGGTGCTCTCCGTCGGGCACCACCATTAGACCCAGAGAACAGGGCGGTTCTAGACGGGAATTTGAGAGGGAGACAGAGACTTCAAACTTTAAGGATGTGTTGAGACTGGAGCTCGCTGCGGGACTTTTTTGTGACTCAAACTGAGCTGAAGTCAACAACAATTTTTTTTTGACCACGAAACATCTTACAGCTTCTCTCCGTGTCCATTTATTCCACCTGAAGTCTTTTTTTCCCCCAGGTGACGATCGGTTTGATTTCCATCATCGTGGAGTTTTTCCTGCATCGTGCTCGTCCAGATATCATTCCATCGATGTTTCACTCGATGGCAGTTGCACAGCGAGATTTGATGATATCAAGACGGCAAACTCTCCTTTTTATAATATAATTGTACAGAGTGTAAATCTCTTAGCGTCAATCCAGATTGATTTTGAGCTGATTTCAAGTGCCATATTAGCGTGAAGACGTGTTTGTAGAATCGTTTCTTTCTCTACGTTTATTCCTCGCAGGATGACACCATAACCGGCTAGACGCTCGTTATCATTTCACTTTCTCCTGTAGGAATGATGGGTACTGATGGTGTCTCGTTAATAAATCGCAGCTTCTCAGACGTATCTGCTAAATCCTGCAAGACGAAAAAACGTGGACCCTGATCCGTCACTTTTTATTTCATCTCTTCACTTTCTGGACGTGTTTATTCCTGTTCTGTTTTACTTGGAGGGTAATTATGAATAGAAGATGGAGGAGGAGGGGGGGGGGGGGGGGGGGGCAGTTAATGTGTATAGTAAGTGATTGTATAGTTATTTAGAGGTGGAGGGTTATTGTTAATATTATTTCCGCAGCTCTGAATGAAGGACTTCTCTGGAGGGCATTTAAACGTTAAGGGACCATTTCTCTGGAGACATTTTCTTTCTTAAATTGGGTTGTTCGTCTTAAGTGAATCTCACCTGAGCAATAACGATACTCGTGAAATCGAGTAAAAGTCACTTCTGTCTCAGAAGCGTGGACACGGCTGCAGAGGGGTTTGTTTAGTGGGTTTGAAAGACGCTCTTGAACGCACCGTGAACGTTAAAACAGTAACAGGTTGATGCATTCAAATGTTGTAGGCTAGAACTGCTGCTAACAATATTTTTACTATCGATTAATCTGAGGATTATTGAATACATTTGTCAATAATATCCAGAAAAAGTCATACATAGTCTCTTAATGTCTTGTTTTCTAATCAAAAACCACCAAAATGTAATTTAAATAAAACAAAAAAGTAGGTAATCTGAGTATTTGAGAGGCTAAAAACGGCATTTTCCGACATTGTTTTCGGTAAATGTCTTGTTTTTTTTGTCCAAACCCTCAAGATATTTATACAAATCAAATAAGAAGCATGACATAGTCTTTAAAAGTCTTGTGTTTTAGTCCAACCCCCCAAAACAATTCACATAAATCAAAGAAAAAGTAGGAAATCTGAACATTTAAGCGGCAAAAACTGCATTTTCTGACACTTTGGCATGAAAAAGGACTTCTAGGATAAATCGATAATGAAAATATTTGCAGCTTATTGATCTGTAGTTGCAGCTTCTACAGGAGGGGTGTGTTGAGAGTCACTGTGTCACTGTGCCTGCTCAGCTCATGTAAATGTATTTAAGTCATTATGGTCTGTACAGAGTAACTTCATGACTTCCTGTGTGAGATGGAACTGCTTTAAATCACAAATACACCTTGTTTTAAATCTGAAATCTGACTTTTTCTGTAGAAATCAAACGGTTTTACCAAGAAGAAGAAAGAGAGGGACGGTCGCATGCTGACCAGCAGCTGCATGGGGTTTTAGTTTTTATTATGGGATGCTGAGTGTGTGTATAAAAGGGAAACTGCACCCCAACCTGTGTGGATTTACACTCAGGCAGGTTTTAGGACAGCCCCATCATGTGCCTCTCTTTACACCATCAGAGTCACTTCTGTGTCCTATCATTACAGAAACGTGCAATTAAGTCCTCTGGTGAATGTGCTAAACGCTGCAGATCATGGTTATTTAAATTGGGTTGATCCACATCGTGAAAACGTCCAAGGAAAAATTCACAAATGTCGTCCTTTGTGCATCCAACAGTAAAAGGAAAGTCAAATATATCAGATAAACTGTTATAAAATATGAAGAAATCCCCAAAATATTCACATTTTAGAAGCTAAACTCGTGAATTTTTCCACCTTCTCTTTAAAAAAAGTGCTTAAAACCTTAAATGAATTGTGAAGATTCTTGCAGCTCCATGTATGTAATGCATTGTTTACCAAACTGCTTTTTACATGCAGAAATGTTGGCTTTTAAACCCCCTTTTTTTTCACTCGAAATACTGTTACCCTCCTGAGCACTGCCCACTTTAAAGCAGAGAGGAAAAGGATATTTCAATCTATAATAATGTTAAATAAATAAAACTTTAGAGAGGGAGAAAATAAGTTATACAAGTCATCAAAGTGTCTTCATGTCGGTTTGAATGACTTCCTTTGGGGCAGAGGAAGGCACTAGTTCTGAAAAATAACATCTATTGAAATCAGAAGATAGTTTGGCACGTCCTTAATTTTCTCCAAATGAGGTGTTTTGTTATAAGCCCAGAGTTACTGATGTCTCCACACATGCATCGAAAAGATCCCATTATAATTTGATTGAAGGAGAATAATGTGGGACATAATGAAGAGCTCTGTCTTTGCACAAATGCATTTCAAAGTTTTAGCCAAAGTAAAACCATCAAGGGTAGTTTAGTGGTTGTTTCTGACCAATCAGGATCAAGTAGTGTCAGTGTGATCATGTTCAAATGCAATCACTTATTATAGAATCATGTTTAATCACAGATGTTCCTCGTGTGTGTGCACATAGCATCTTCAATCAATATTAAAATGGTGGAAATGAAGTAGTTAGATCTTGTTAAAACATCAGATATCTGAAGGTGCATTTTGATGTAACTTCCACATTTACAGGTGGCACATGTTGGGGCTGAGAGGAGGGTCTATTTAATATTTGTAGTATTATTGTCAGTGGGGGGGGTGTGTTTATTTTTCTTCTGTCATTCCAGGATGAGTCTGCCTTATTTCCAACTTTTGATTGTGAACATCGGTTGTAAAGCAATGTGTTTCATGACAACTAAATTAAAGTTTTTTAAACTGGTGAAAATGCTTTCTGATTCAACTTTGTTTAAAAAAAAGTTTCCTGTTGTGGTTTAAGCCTTTCATTCATTTCTGCTGATGTTCAGGTGTATATCAGTATGTAGTGTCTCTACTTTAAAGAGTCCTCTCCTGCTGATGTTCAGGTGTATATCAGCATGTAGTGTCTCAACTTTAAAGAGTCCTCTCCTGATGATGTTCAGGTGTATATCAGCATGTAGTGTCTCAACTTTAAAGAGTCCTCTCCTGATGATGTTCAGGTGTATATCAGTATGTAGTGTCTCTACTTTAAAGAGTCCTCTCCTGCTGATGTTCAGGTGTATATCAGTATATAGTGTCTCTACTTTAAAGAGTCCTCTCCTGCTGATGTTCAGGTGTATATCAGCATGTAGTGTCTCAACTTTAAAGAGTCCTCTCCTGATGTTCAGGTGTATATCAGTATGTAGTGTCTCTACTTTAAAGAGTCCTCTCCTGCTGATGTTCAGGTGTATATCAGTATATAGTGTCTCTACTTTAAAGAGTCCTCTCCTGCTGATGTTCAGGTGTATATCAGTATGTAGTGTCTCTACTTTAAAGAGTCCTCTCCTGCTGATGTTCAGGTGTATATCAGTATGTAGTGTCTCTACTTTAAAGAGTCCTCTCCTGCTGATGTTCAGGTGTATATCAGTATGTAGTGTCTCTACTTTAAAGAGTCCTCTCCTGCTGATGTTCAGGTGTATATCAGTATGTAGTGTCTCTACTTTAAAGAGTCCTCTCCTGCTGATGTTCAGGTGTATATCGGTATGTAGTGTCTCTACTTTAAAGAGTCCTCTCCTGCTGATGTTCAGGTGTATATCGGTATGTAGTGTCTCTACTTTAAAGAGTCCTCTCCTGATGATGTTCAGGTGTATATCAGTATGTAGTGTCTCTACTTTAAAGAGTCCTCTCCTGCTGATGTTCAGGTGTATATCAGTATGTAGTGTCTCTACTTTAAAGAGTCCTCTCCTGCTGATGTTCAGGTGTATATCAGCATGTAGTGTCTCTACTTTAAGAGTCCTCTCCTGATGATGTTCAGGTGTATATCAGTATGTAGTGTCTCTACTTTAAAGAGTCCTCTCCTGCTGATGTTCAGGTGTATATCAGTATATAGTGTCTCTACTTTAAAGAGTCCTCTCCTGCTGATGTTCAGGTGTATATCAGTATATAGTGTCTCTACTTTAAAGAGTCCTCTCCTGCTGATGTTCAGGTGTATATCAGTATGTAGTGTCTCTACTTTAAAGAGTCCTCTCCTGCTGATGTTCAGGTGTATATCAGTATGTAGTGTCTCTACTTTAAAGAGTCCTCTCCTGCTGATGTTCAGGTGTATATCAGTATGTAGTGTCTCTACTTTAAAGAGTCCTCTCCTGCTGATGTTCAGGTGTATATCAGTATGTAGTGTCTCTACTTTAAAGAGTCCTCTCCTGCTGATGTTCAAGTGTATATCAGTATGTAGTGTCTCTACTTTAAAGAGTCCTCTCCTGATGATGTTCAGGTGTATATCAGTATGTAGTGTCTCTACTTTAAAGAGTCCTCTCCTGCTGATGTTCAGGTGTATATCAGTATGTAGTGTCTCTACTTTAAAGAGTCCTCTCCTGCTGATGTTCAGGTGTATATCAGCATGTAGTGTCTCTACTTTAAAGAGTCCTCTCCTGATGATGTTCAGGTGTATATCAGTATGTAGTGTCTCTACTTTAAAGAGTCCTCTCCTGCTGATGTTCAGGTGTATATCAGTATATAGTGTCTCTACTTTAAAGAGTCCTCTCCTGCTGATGTTCAGGTGTATATCAGTATATAGTGTCTCTACTTTAAAGAGTCCTCTCCTGCTGATGTTCAGGTGTATATCAGTATGTAGAGTCTCTACTTTAAAGAGTCCTCTCCTGCTGATGTTCAGGTGTATATCAGTATGTAGTGTCTCTACTTTAAAGAGTCCTCTCCTGCTGATGTTCAAGTGTATATCAGTATGTAGTGTCTCTACTTTAAAGAGTCCTCTCCATGCTGATGTTCAGGTGTATATCAGTATGTAGTGTCTCTACTTTAAAGAGTCCTCTCCTGCTGATGTTCAGGTGTATATCAGTATGTAGTGTCTCTACTTTAAAGAGTCCTCTCCTGCTGATGTTCAGGTGTATATCAGTATGTAGTGTCTCTACTTTAAAGAGTCCTCTCCTGCTGATGTTCAGGTGTATATCAGTATGTAGTGTCTCTACTTTAAAAGATACTACAGGAAGCACAATATGGCCTCTTTAAATGCACTGGATGTATGAAGTTGTTATTCATCAAGCTAACCGTTTATGCATCACTTGTGTTCACTTTGCTCATATTCTTTCAGTTTTTCCTCTTAATTGAAATGTTTAAGAGGCTTTTCTGCCGCTGACGGGATGTTTTCCCGCTCACGCTCTTCTCTCTGGAAACTGAGCTGTGATATCTCTGTAATCTGCTGTCCGTCCACTCTGACAACAACTTGTGTGAATTAATCTGATACTCTGAGCCGCTAACGCTCTCTCCATCCTCTTTCCCCTGCAGCCCCCCCCAGATGTTTCTGACTCTCTGTACCTGGCAGCCGCCGTAATCTAACAGCTTTTACCGGTTTCCATGGATATCGAGCGGCTTCAGATTCCTAAAGCTCTCCCTCTGTCCCCTCACTTCTCTCCGCCTGCAGCTGTTATTGGCAGCTGCATTATTCCACCCTGCTGAGTTATCGGTATTCCTCTGCTGCTGCACCTCGATGCATTGTGTGAGTAATTGTTATTGACTCTTTGTTGTTGTTGTTGTTGTTGGGCCCCTCCTCTCCGGGTGAGGATGTTCTCGTCCTCGTCCAGAAGCTCTCTGTTCTCGCCCTGGTCGTCCATGGAGCAGTCGGACAGCGAGGCGCTGGACATCAGCACCAAGGTGCAGCTGCACGGCGTGCTGTGGAAGAGACCCTTCGGACGGCCGTCTGCAAAGTGGTCCCGCAGGTGAGGGGCGATGCACCTGAGGGGGGGGTTTAATGAGTCTAAACTCGGAGAGAGTGGAGCAGGGAGGGTCTGCCTCTGAGCTGCTTAGGAAACATCGTCAGAACATTTGAGAACTTTAAAAGCTAGGAAAAGTTGGAAGAAATCTGATTTATTTATAAGTGGAGAGAACGTTTCCTTGAACAGCTGTTTATTCATAGAGAATCTAGTGTTTATTTAAACAATAAACGGTTAAAGTTGTGTTATGTGTAATTGTAAAGCGCTTTGAGCACCTGGAAAAGCACTCTAATAAAAATGTAATGAATTATTATTATTATTTATTTATACAACTTCTGTGTCTCGTACTAAAAGGCTGAGTGATTTGACACCACAAGTATTAAATGCTATCATATTTTAAATGTAAAAACTATTTATTTGGGTTAAACTTCTGTAATGACTTTTCACTGCATGGAGGGGGGACCCTTGCCTCTGTGCGGCTTGAACAACCCTCATTGGTGCAGGATATACAATCTACAGGAAAAGTACATATTTTGAGATTTAATTTTTAGTTGGGAGAAACAGAGTTTAAAGGAAGTCTGCTTTTATCATTTTTAAAAGTGGGGAGAAAGTTTTCCTACACCAAAACATAAAGGTAGATTATCCTTAGATGATTAACACATTTCTTTTGCATAAATATCATATCTGTGCTGTTTTGAGAGCCCGAACTATCTACTACTATTTTCTTTATAGGTTATAGAGAATTATGGGGATTTCTTCTTTATTATGAAGCTATTATACAATGTGTGTGTGTGTGTGTGTGTGTGTGTGTGTGTGTGTGTGTGTGTGTGTGTGTGTGTGTGTGTGTGTGTGTGTGTGTGTGGGTTGGATTGCGACCTTATGTCACCATAATGCTCTTAGTTTACATAACGCATAAAAGGACAATACACTCTGGATCCAGAGAAACCATTACTTCTGACTTTCTGTGAACATCTCCATATTCTAGAGAAAACGGCCTTTTCTGACATTTTTGCATGAATAAATCTCAAAATACTGATTATTCTGTCTATTTCGGGGGTTTATGACCTGCACAAGGGGTCACAAGATGAATCTCAAGGGTCACTAAGAGAGAAGTTGGGTTATATTATGAAAAGTGTGTGTGTGTGTGTGTGTGTGTGTGTGTGTGTGTGTGTGTGTGTGTGTGTGTGTGTTGTGTGTGTGTGTGTGTGTGTGTGTGTGTGTGTGTGTGTGTGTGTGTGTGTGTGTGTGTGTGTGATTGAATACACTTTGTTCATAAACCACCTTCAAACTGCTTTCCCATGAAAACCTCTAAACACTCAGAGGATGAAATGAACTGGAAACAAAAACACAACGTAAATAAATCCAATAAAAGCAACATTTGAAAAAGTGACCATGAAAGCATGGAATATAAAGCAGCTCCGTCACAGGATGAATGGATTTATGAATATCAAACAGACTAATGTTTTCTGACTTCTACTTTCCTCTTCCTCACAGATTCTTCATCATCAAAGACAGCTTCCTGCTGTACTACGCAGAGAGTGAGAAGAAGAGCTTTGAGAGCAACAGGATCTTCAACATCCACCCCAAGGTGAGATCCTCTCAATCAGAACACCTGTATTAGTCCCACAGAGGGACTTGCATCGTTACAGCAGGAAAGAGCCACAGGCAGCTTAATGCTACATATGTTAAAAAAAAGTACTAAGTTATGATATGATAAAAATATAATACAAAAATACAAATCCTGTAACAGTTCTTAGGATTGAGCAGCCAGGTATATATTACACTGTTATTAATGGCATATGTATATAATGTATATATTGCACATATAGCACACTCTGAACTCCTGCAGGAACATCTGGGAGGTTTAGGATGCAGAACCATGTGTTTACGCCACTTTATGCTTCATAAACAGAAGGATTTGACCTGTTGTTAGAAAAATCTCACTCGTCACCGGCTTGAGCTTCAATCTCAAGATCCATGTATTTCTGATCCTCTCCAGAATGGAAGTAGTCATCACACACAGAGCATCAACTAGTTCCTGAACAGTGTCCTTCACATGCTGATATACAAGAGAGGGAGTTACACAGTCACGAGATGGAGGAATACTGGTTCTTCTAAGTAATCATACATCCTGTCGTGTACAAAATACTGAGTTTTCCTAAAAAACTCAAAATTCTGACTTTTTCTCAAAAGTCTGACTTTTTCTCAAAATCTCAAAATTCTTACTTTTTCTCAAAATTCTGACTTTTTCTCAAAAGTCTTGACTTTTTCTCAAAATCTCAAAATTCTTACTTTTCTCAAAATTCTGACTTTTTCCTCAAAATTCTTACTTTTTCCTCAAAAACTCAAAATTCTGACTTTTTCCTCAAAATTCTGACTTTTTCCTCAACACTGACTTTTTCCTCAAAAACTCAAAATTCTGACTTTTTCCTCAAAATTCTGACTTTTTCCTAAAAATTCTGACTTTTTCCTAAAAATTCTGACTTTTTCCTCAAAATTCTGACTTTTTTCTCAAAATTCTGACTTTTTCTGAATACTTAAAAATGTTAATAATCACTGGTCACCGGCTTGAGCTTCAATCTCAGGACACATGTATTTGTGATCCTCTCAAGAATGGAAGTAGTCATCACATACAGAGCATCAACTAGTTCCTGAACAGTGTCCTTCACATGCTGATATCCAAGAGAGGGAGTTACACAGTCACAAGATGGAGGAATACCGGTTCTTGTAGGTAATCATACATCCTGTCGTGTACAAAATACTGACTTTTCCTAAAAAACTCATAATTCTGACTTTTTCTCAAAATCTCAAAATTCTTACTTTTTCTCAAAACTCTGACTGTTTCCTCAAAAACTCAAAATTCTGACTTTTTCCTAAAAATTCTGACTTTTTCCTCAAAATTCTGACTTTTTCTCAAAATTCTGACTTTTTTTTCTCAAAATTCTGACTTTTTTTCTCAAAATTCTGACTTTTTCCTCAAAATTCTGACTTTTTCCTCAAAATTCTGACTTTTTCTCAAAATTCTGACTTTTTTTCTCAAAATTCTGACTTTTTTTCTCAAAATTCTGACTTTTTCTGAATACTTAAAAATGTTAATAATCACTGGTCTTGAGCTTCAATCTCAGGATCCATGTATTTGTGATCCTCTCAAGAATGGAAGTAGTCATCACATACAGAGCATCAACTAGTTCCTGAACAGTGTCCTTCACATGCTGATATCCAAGAGAGGGAGTTACACAGTCACAAGATGGAGGAATACCGGTTCTTGTAGGTAATCATACATCCTGTCGTGTACAAAATACTGACTTTTCCTAAAAAACTCAAAATTCTGACTTTTTCTCAAAATCTCAAAATTCTTACTTTTTCTCAAAACTCTGACTGTTTCCTCAAAAACTCAAAATTCTGACTTTTTCCTCAAAATTCTGACTTTTTCCTCAAAATTCTGACTTTTTCTCAAAATTCTGACTTTTTTTCTCAAAATTCTGACTTTTTTTCTCAAAATTCTGACTTTTTCCTCAAAATTCTGACTTTTTCCTCAAAATTCTGACTTTTTCTCAAAATTCTGACTTTTTTTCTCAAAATTCTGACTTTTTTTCTCAAAATTCTGACTTTTTCTGAATACTTAAAAATGTTAATAATCACTGGTCTTGATCTTCAATCTCAGGATCCATGTATTTGTGATCCTCTCCAGAATGGAAGTAGTCATCACATACAGAGCATCAACTAGTTCCTGAACAGTGTCCTTCACATGCTGATATCCAAGAGAGGGAGTTACACAGTCACAAGATGGAGGAATAGAAAGCAGTATTCAATGTTTACTTCAGATTAGCTCCACGTCAGAAATGATCATGCTTGTCATATGTCTATCTCCATAGAGGCTGAATCATCATGTTAATCACATAGCTATCATATGCCTAAAACAGTCCTGATGCTCTTCTAGGTAATCATACATCCTGTCATGTACACAGCTACAGTTGGGATACCTTTGTTATCATGTGGACTCTGATATTGGAAGAGGACATTCAGTATTTTCCCAACACCTGTGCGCAGAATCAGCGTGATGGATGACAGTTTGATGTGTTTCTGTCAGGGAGTGATTCCTCTCGGAGGATGTGTGGTTTCTGCTAATGACAACATGGGGATGCCCTTCGCCATCGTCATCAACCTGGAGGACTTCTCAGTAAGACCAGGGTTTCATTTATCATTTATCAGACTGATTTATCAAATATGATGTTTTGTTCATATAGTAAATTCACCAATGGTTTGTACTAGAACAGCTTAGTCAAATAATCTATTATCCAATTGTAAAGGGAATTAAAAGACGTCTTCTCCTGGTTAAATAATTACAAGTAATATTTAGATTTTTTGTGTTGTACTTTTACATTTGTTTTAGACTTTTCTGCTTTGGGGTTCTTTTAGATGTAATATTTAAAATAAATGTAGCTGATTATATTACTTACGTCCGGCAGTGGCTCAGTCTGTAGGGGCTTGGACTGGGAACCGTAGGGTCGCTGGTTCAAGTCCCCGAACTCACCTCAATATGTGGACCGGTACTTGGAGAGGTCCCTGTTCACCTCCGGGGCCCTGAGGCGGCCTTAAGCAAGGCACCGCACACCCATCAAAAAGCATCTGAATATAAAAACTCAGACAAATACAGAAAAGGGCAGAGTCAGAAGTTGGCAGTGACTTTAAAATGTCTCTTTCATGACTAAAATCATCCTAATCCTGCAGAAAACATCATTATTTACTCTCTCAGCACGCTCTGTTTTAAAGCCTGATGCCTTTACTATAAGCCCCTGATGTGTGATGTTGTCCTCAGGGAACCATCGTGCTGGCGGCTGAGTCGGTGGGGGAGCAGCTGCAGTGGATGGAGATGCTGCAGGACTCTGGCAAAGTGTGAGTACACAAACTCTTACTTAAAAAAAACCATGCTAATCTCATCGTGGCTAGTGGGATAGTGGTGGTCTAATCTATGGATAGTGAGGTGGGCTGAAGATCGGAAGGTTGCGAGTTCAAATCCCGCCTGGAACACCACCACTAGTGTGCCCTTGAGTAAGGCACTTAGTCCTTAGTTACTCCAGGGAGAATGTAATGTAATTGGTCATTATAAATCGCTTTGGATAAAAGCGTCAGCTAAATGTAATGTAATATGGCTCTGGAGGGGAAACAATCATCAACGTGAGAATTCATCCCCCGGGAACCATGAATACTGTTGGTCAGCGGTTCCCAACCTTTTTCAACTCAGCGCCCACTTAAGAATCTAAAAAATGTTCGCGGCCCACATTCAACCATAAACAATATGGAGGCTCACTAAAGTTCTGATTGGTCCATTCAGAACATGTGACACGCTGTTAATCCAGTAGAACAGACCGCTGTCAAGGACTGTAATGACCGTTGCTAAGGAGGACCGAGAAAGAGAAAGGAAAGGATGTTCGAATAAAAAATAAAAAATACCTTAATAATGAAACGGTTTCCACACAAATCCTAAAGTTTTGCAAATGATTTGGCGGCCCACTTGCAATGGCCCACAGGTTGGGAACCGCTGCTGTAGATGTTGACCTGCTGGGTTATATTTGATGGATTATCAGACAAAGAAACAAGAATATCCAAAGTTGACCTCGTTAAATCAAAAACACTCGAGACCAACATTGTACCACGATGTTAAATCAACAATATCATTGCCGATTTCACGATGAATCTGATCTCCTTAGAGCCAGAAGAGAAGTCAGAGGAACCCTAGAGACTGTTGAATTCATCTTATATCAATGTCTGTGGAGGTTTTAAAGGCAACTCATCCAATCTTTGATGTTTCGTCATCCCTAAAAGGAAGGAATTCATCTGTTAACATGCTAGTTGTGTTTAAAATGTCTGATTTCTTAAACCTGTGTTTCTCCGTCAGCACGTGGAAGAACTGTCAGCTGGGCGAGGCGATGATCGAGAGTCTGGAGGCTCAGGGGCTGCAGCTGGCCAAGGAGAAGCAGGAGTATCTGGGTAAATCATCATCGCAGTAAATCTACTTTTTAATAATAAAGGTTTAACGAGCAGCTTATGATGAATACGTTTCCTTCTGCAGACAAACTGATGGAGGAGACAGAAGAGCTGAGTCACCAGAGAGCTCAGAGAGAGGTACATTCAAATGAGTATACTACAACTTTTAAATAACACTTTTATATATTAAGAAACTTAAAGGTGGGGTAGGTAAGTTTGAGAAACCGGCTCGAGATACACTTGTTGTTATATTCCATGGAATGCTCTTAACATCCCGATAGCAATGAATATCTGAAGTGCTTTGACAAAAAATACATAAAAAATGTCATCTGTGGAAGCCGTAGTACTGTAAAAAGCACGACCAATCATTTTAGCCGGCCCGGCTAAAATAACTGGATGGCCTACCTGCCTGTCAGCCTTCCATCTGT